TTATTAATGATAGTAGTTATAGAGGTTCTATAGAAGCAAGTCAAGGAGGGATTTCATGGTCATACAGCAGTTATGCAGAAACCAAGAGGCACAGGAACTACATGTCAAGAGGCTTAAAGAACAATAAAACCAAGTGCATGATTAAAGCTATTTGTAACACTTTATATGAACCCCACTCTTATTATGCATCATTAGCACATTTATAAAGACTTATAAATGCATCCATAACACTTTACAATAACCCATATGAATGATAATAAATATTCTAAACAGCCTTAAATTATGTTAAAGTGTTTGGAGTAAAAAGGAAAAGGTACTGCCTATAAGTTCTTATAAATGTAATATAATAAATGAATAGGAATATATTAGATTCATAGCAACTATAACTTTTTTTAATGATATATAGAATAAGTCCGTTATAATCATTGAGAGAGGTATAATGTGTTATCAAACTCAGGAGTCAAAAGACGCTATTGTTCTTTTGCATCAAGTTATAATACATTATTATGCACACCTTAAAAAGTTACTATGCTCACTGCTCATAACACTTCATAAAGATTGCTATAAGCTGTTACAAATGCTTGCTTTTTATCCATATATGTAATTATAGGCCTTATATGTGCATTTATAAGGTTTTAGATGTGCTCATGATGCATTTATAAGGTTTTAGATTATGTTTGGTTTTAGATATTTTTTTCTTCTCTCTCTGAAAACTTTCCTGCAAATGTGTCATTACGTAAGTCAATAAAAAATCCTGTTACTCACTTTGGGAGACCTGCTCTAGAAATGTGTTTCATAAGTGCCCAATGGGAGACAATTACAAAGAAAGAAATTACACTTTCTAAATAAACATCTATGGGAAAGATGGATGGGGGTGTCTATGACGCAGCCTGTTTGTTTTATTCCCTGATATAATCTTTTTTGTGTCGATGTTTTCTATTGCACTTCAGGTAATTAAGTGATACCTCAATTATGTCATCCAGGTAACATCAAAACTGCATGAAATCTGTCTTTAACAAACACGCACAACCCATTTCCATGACCTTGAGGGCCCTCTAGGTGCTACTACGTATAGCACGCAGCCCTCTGTGGTAGCTGGAACTAATTGGCTTTGACACTCTTAACTGTTGACGTCTCATTACTCATTCCACTTAAAATAACTTCCACAAGTTGTTATTGTTCAGGGGGTCATTACAAGTCAAGAAAGTCTTTAATTATGAGCCAGGATAGTTCAGTGAGCAACGCTGTGCCTTCTTTTTAGTACCTGTGGATTTACAGCATTTGAATTCTCTCCAGCTCAGAGTCACCTGGGGAAATACAACCTTAGTGATCATGAAAAGAGGTCAAAGGGTCCAAATAGAGCAAGAAAGTCAAAATGACAAAGGGAAATGGGAACTTTTATTACAAATAAGTGATATCTTATCAAAGAATTATAATATGGAAAATATATGATTATGGATTTCCATAAACCGCATGAAAAAGTCCCTTTATTTCACTGGACTCCATGTTTTCCTGAGCAGAAACAGGTTCATTTGAGGATGTCCATTTGATAAACATGATAAAAGAAACTGTTTTCTCCACCAGAACTCTAAGTGAGAGTCTCTGACATGTCCTGAGCTCAAGGTCTGGAGAAGATTTACTGTCAACCTCTTTATACACGGACCAGCTACATTATCGCTCTGTTTCTGAAACCATAATACTCAATAATAGTCAAATTTCTCTTTCTGACTTCTAGAATTTTATGATAAAATGTTAAGGTATTGATTTAGGAGACTCTTGCTTAAAGCCAGTTCATATATGTGGGGATTTTCAATTGAAATGGTTGATTTTTCCACAGTAATTTATCCTAAAAATTCCCAAAATTGATTATACAGCCCTGTTTTAAATCATCCATAAAAAGTTATGTGATCTTGCATGAAGTGGAAACACAGATTCAATCACATGTGCACACACACACACACACACACACACACACACACACACACACACACAAAAGCAGAAACTGTTAATTATTCAATAAACAGAAGTGCAGTTTTCTCTTATACCTCGAGTCTTTAAGATCTTCAGAATGAGAACCTGCTTTAGTCCACCCCTTCATCTATAGTGTACATGTGTAGGTTTATGATCTAATTAATATAATTGAACATCTGAAGGGGAAAAAAAAAACTCACATTTTTTCCAGATAAATAGAATAGAAAATTTAATTAATGTAATTATTAGGTCTCTATTTACTGACACTTGAAGGTCTATTGAACGCTAATTCTCTCAATATTGTGTTTTTAAAGACATCACTCAATATTTCGTTGATATTTTATGTTCCAGATCTTTGAAGACATGGGAGAATCTGGTCTGTCATGCTAATTGGTAAAACCACCTCAGGCAAGCTCACCACAAACTGGGGAGGGGGGGGACAGACAGCATCAATACAGGTCAGCATCTGTCTTAGTGTGGGAACATGACAATAAACACCACATTATAAAAAAATGGAAGGTAAGATGCTCCTGTACTGAAAACATATAAAAGGACTGGTTTGAATATTAAAAAATCAATGAGGTTATTAGAGACACAGCAGCTACAGAAAACTTGTCTGGCAGAGAAAAACATGTCAGAGATGTCTATTAGGAAATCAAAATGGGAAATAGTCACGAGTATAGCTTATATTTTACTGCAATGATTCTCCACAGAGAGGAGATGAGCGTGTATACATGTGTGTATGTACGCGCACAAACCCCAACTCTTCTGTGGAAATCCTCACCGTGATTCTGAGGACGGACAGATAAACAGCCTCAGCACTGGCAGCGTCACTTCATCAGTTTTAGGGTGTGTGTGTGTGTGTGTGTGTGTGTGTGTGTGTGTGTGTGTGTGTGTGTGTGTGTGTGTGTTAACAGCAGAGAAGTGAACCTTCGCTTCAAACAAACGGAGGAGAAAAAAAAGTGCAGCTTTAAGTAAGGATTAAAACTAAGGCGTGCAGGGCTGCTTTGCACCATATTGTAACCTACATCTGCATTTAAAGCCACAGAGAATTAATAAAATGCTTGTAAGTCGCACGGGGTAGACTGAATGCTTATTTGTGGTGCATTATAAAGGAACAATTCCGCCTGTTCAGTGTGTTTACAACAGATGTAAAAATTGAGTCGACCTAAAAAAAACATCTGAAAAGTTTATTTGCTTAAAAAATTATATATTAACGTATTTTTTTAACTTCCATGTGGGTAAAAAGGAGGTAATGTGTTTCAATATTGAATCTCACCTCATGCATTTCCATTCATGTACGACTTGATCGAGCTCAGTTCGTGTTGTAGCTCTTCATTTATTATGTTTCTGTCTCTCTGTTTGACCCTCCCAGGTCACATAAGCCATTTTTCCTTTTTTTTTTTTAAACGCATGATTAATTTCTCACTAAGGCGTCAGAACAGAGGGAGAAGTGTGTTACACATGCAGGGGGTGGATGGATGGAGCGCTATTGTGGACACTTAGACGTGCCACATTTTGGGTAAACTTGGCAAAGATGTCTTATTGAGGACATGTGGTCTGTAAGGAGATATATTTTGAGACATCAGTGTAACAATGACTTCAGTTGATTTAATCGATAATTCATTCATGTGAAAATTAGTGAATTCTTAACGATTAACCGATAAAGCATATATTTGTAATTGTCATTTATACCCACTCTCTCTGGTCCGTGTAGTTTTTTTTATCCTGTCCTGTCATTTCTCTATTGTGACGTCGCTGCTTAAATACCTGCGCCCCCCACCCCACCTCAACCCCAACCCCCCAACCCCACCACCATTTCCAAACTAAATTGCTTTGAAAAGGAGCAGATGGGGCTCCTCATTCCCTCTCTTCTTCTTTCCATAAAGCGCACGGACGCGCAGATTTAAGACTGAGCCCAAAAGTGACCTTGTCATATTTAACAAGATGCAATTAAAAAAAAATTATGTTTTTTATTAGATAGGCACGGGAGATTGAATATTTTCCTTAGGTTGTTGTATTTCTGTGATTTTCACTGTATGCTCTGCAAACTTTGCTCTTTCTCAGTCTGTAGGTTAAACAAATTGAAATAAAAACGCTTTAAATTGGACTATTTTTTAAACTTTAAAAAGTATTGTATGGGCCACTAACTTTACAGTTATTAATCATCATAAAAAAAACAATCAAATGTATTAAAATGATAACTTAGATTAATCAAATGACACATTTGTCCCTCCCCTTGCAGAGTTGATTCATAGAGATTTTTCGTCTCGGGACATTTATGACTGTAAATACGCCACTGTTCAGGTTAGCTTTTTCATCTTTCATATTTTAGCGCAGGGGTGGGCAATCATGTGCCATGGAGGGCCGAGAGGCTGCAGGTTTTCTTTCCAAGCCAAAACTCCACCAGGTGATTTCACTGATGACTCCCTGCTCTCTGAAATCACCTGGTGGAGTTTTGGTGCGTGATTGCCCACCCCTGGCCTAGAGGTTCATCCCGAGATCTGTCCACAGCGTTGACGATCACCTGCTAAAAATCACGTTTACTCCAAAAAAAACCCACCGTTTGTGTTTGATTTTATTATTAAAGTCTGTCTAACTTATCGTCAAACACCCTTCCACATCCATCCCGACACCCCCTTAAAGCCACCTGCTGGGCCTACTTTGTCATCAGTGTTACGGACTATTACGCTTTCCATCCTCGGAAACTTCGGAGCGCAAATGGTGTGTGCCTGTTGCCCAATCCACTCTCGTACGAACCCTCCCGTCCGTCCGTCCACGCAGGCTCTTTGACTTCTCCAACATCATCTGATTGGCAGTTTCCTAAGATGACATCTGCTTGTGCATTTTGGACGAAGGAGACACCGAGGGTGGACCAGGACCGGAGGAGGAATTAAGAAGGGTGTAGGACTGTGCGTAAAGTCTGTATAGGCCTGTGGTCTCATTGTGCGCGCTCCATGACTGGTGGGCTGAGCTCGCGGCGCACGCCAATCAGAGAGAGAGAGGGAGAGAGAGAGAGAGAGAGATTAGGATGGCGCGTGCTGTCTCTGAATAGCGAATAAAACCGGCGCGTCAGCCTCACAGTTTACTCACATCTTAAAAAGCAGCTCGATCCACAGCTGAAAAATTAAAGCCCGTCTTCACTCCAGTAGATTTCAGAAAACTAGATAGTTTATGTGTTAAAAAAAGACTTATGTAAAGGGTTTTAATCAAACCAATCGATATATTTTCTCGTGGAGGATATCTTCGACGCTTTTACCGTATTTGGGATTATCCTCGGGAGTACAAGGTAAGGACTGATCCACTTTCTGCTGTAAAGTTTGAGAAAATGAGAAAATGTGATGTTCAAAAAAGCTGCAGAGGTTTTGTGTTTTACAGCCCAAGTTTCACATTTCGTTTCATTATGCCTATCATTTATTTTAGTACTTATTAGTCTATTTTTACAGTTATTAATATATTATAATAATAACAACCATATAATAATAATGATAATTAATATTATTAGTTTGTTGCCTGATAAAAATAAATCATGTCAGCTGTCATCATGCGCGCTCTTCCTTGGGCCTCAACTCTCATTTTCAACTCCAGCTTTCAACTAAAGCCTCAAACACTACACTGACCTATTTATTTATTTGTTTAATTATTTTATTCCCGCAGCCCTCGACTTGTTTGGTAAAAGTTCATCTTTGCTCCCATCTCCAAACACCGCTAAGAAAAAAAAACACTGGTTCATTTTAAATGTGCGCCCGGCTCTTACAGCGAGCCAACACGCTCTTCTTCAGTATGCTGTATAATTACAGTGTTTTCTTTGAGATTTACTCTGTGTGACAAAATTAAATCACTTTGAATTATGACGGTATTTAAACAACAAGATATGCTTTTTATTTAATATGTACAGTGGGCTAAAATAGGACTTCTTTAAGAGTGATAAAATACATCGACTTTTTTTGAGTTTTGGACGTTAAAGTGTCATTTGTTGAATTACAGCAACACATGGTTTCAGCAAGTCAGTCCCAATTCCAGCTGTGGTTTCTCCTCTCATTTATTTTTGTAGAATTTTCATGACTAAAGTTTTCTTAAATATATCTCTACATAATTTAAGAATTTTAAAAATAAATTAGAGATTTTATTTAAGCTGGTGTGGAAACCCTGTTTTCCATCATTTCAGTTTTGGTGGAAATTCAGTGGACCTAAATTAAGGATTAACAAACTTCAGTCAATTCCAGCACTAATACTGCTTACCATGAAAAAAAAAAGATAATATTGTTTTTTTGTATTTTTTGTTTTTTTCAGTGTAAATGTGAGAAAGCAGCAATAATAATGAATTATATCTTCAATTTGATTTGTTTTTTATGTCTCAGTAATTTTGAAAGAGGACAAGAGAAGTCAGTAAGAGCACAGGGAAACCTTTAAGTGATGCTCAGTTTTGAATTTAATATTTCTCTCCAAAACAGAAAATATGTTTGATTAATTGTGCAAAATTATTACATTCCTCCATTTGCACTATTTGCTTTATAATGTCCATGCACCATTATCCAGAATCAGAATTAGAATATCCTTTATTGTCATCATACTAAAAGTACAACGAGATTGGAGAGCTTCTCTTCTTCTAATGCAATAGCGAAGTAAAAATAAGGTGGTAAAAGTACAAATAGTCGTAAGAAAGAAGGTTCTATATTTACAAGACAAGAATTCTACAAGTTCCCACATCAGAAAGGCTCAGACTATGTCAGTTTGGTTTTATATTATGAGTGAATAACATACAGGGAATGTTTGTGTGAATTCAAGAAGTCAACACACATGTGGATGGTTCTCTCTTTTTCTTCTCTGCAGGACGCTCTACAAACACTTGTCCTCCAAGTATGGACAAGACCCACCTTTCAAGCTCTAATGACATCATAATGACGAGCTCAACAGGCCCCTTCCAGCAGGGACCCCTGACTCCACCTCGACCTGCACATATCCACTCTTCAGCCTCTTCCTTATCTTCGACCTCTCCGTCCTCTTCCACCTCGCCCCTCAAACCAAACCAGGTCGGCCAGGTCATCCTGTACGGCGTTCCTATCGTATCACTGGTCATCGACAACAATGAGAGACTTTGCCTGGCGCAGATTTCAAACACACTACTCAAGAACTACAGTTACAATGAGATTCATAATCGCCGTGTGGCTCTGGGTATAACATGCGTCCAGTGCACTCCGGTTCAGTTGGAGATTCTCCGTCGAGCTGGTGCCATGCCCATCTCATCACGTCGCTGCGGTATGATCACCAAGCGAGAGGCTGAACGCCTCTGCAAGTCCTTCCTGGGAGAGAACGCGCCGCCCAAACTGCCTGACAACTTTGCCTTTGATGTGACCCATGAGTGCGCCTGGGGTTGCCGTGGCAACTTCATCCCAGCCCGCTATAACAGCTCCAGGGCCAAATGCATCAAGTGCTCCTTCTGCAACATGTACTTTTCCCCAAATAAGTTCATTTTCCATTCTCACCGGACACCAGATGCAAAGTACACTCAGCCAGACGCTGCCAACTTTAACTCCTGGCGACGACACCTTAAGCTGAGCGACAAACACCCACCTGATGACTTAGTTTACGCGTGGGAGGATGTCAAAGCGATGTTTAACGGAGGCAGTCGGAAGAGAACGCTGCCCTCCTCGGCACACTGTCACTCCATGGGTCCCATGAAGACTCTTCCAGGCTCAGTGGTGCCACACATGATAGGACCTGATTTAGGCGCCCAGAAAAGAGGCCGCTACGAAGAGGACGATGATCTGGATGTAGGCAGCCTTTCCCCTCGCAAGACCCCACGAAGTTACCCCGTCATCCCCGTCCCGAGCAAAAGCTTCAGTATGTTGCAGAAGTTCCCTCCGACGTCGCTCTTTCCCTCACCCTACCCCTTCCCGGCGTTTGGCCTGTGCCAGCAGAAAAAAGATGACAGTGATGTTTCAGGAGGGCAGAAAGGAGCAGGACTATCAAGTCTTTTATGGCCTGGCCGCAAAGACACGTTTTATCCTCCTTTCTGCATGTTTTGGCCACCAAGAGCTGCAGGAGGAATCCCTGTTCCCACCTACCTCCAGCCTCAGCCCAGTGCTCTCTCCTCCCTGGCAGACAGCTCCTCTCTGAGGCAGGCCTTTTTGGATCTGTCAGACCCGAACCAGCCAGGAGCTGGCAATGGAAACAGCATCAGCACGACCATAGCCCCCAGCAGCGAGACTTCAACACCCAGATCTGGGCTGTTTGACCCCGAGTGCACGACAGTGACTCCTGACCTCCGCCCTGCGTCGTCGGAAGGCTGGCTAAAACTTCTGGACACACCAACCCTCCAGTCCAGAAAGTCCAGCTACGGCTCAGCCTTCCGTCCTGTCATTAAGGATGCTGAAAGCATCGCTAAGCTCCATGGAAACGGCGTAGGAGTCACTGGGACAGCAGACGATGACTTTGGGGTCGTGGTCACCAGTACAGATCGCCACCAACAGCTGTCACCCAGCAGCAGCGGCAGTTACGGCAGTGAAAGCGGGATCGATGGAGAGGCAGAGGGAGTGGAGAGTGAGGAGGAAGGGGAGGTGGATGTTGAGTCGTCAAAGCAAGAGGACATGGCTGAGGAAGAGGGCTTCACAAACAAGCCACCAAAAACTCAAACCAACCTGTTCCTCCCTGTAGTGAGTGACAATCCCGTAGAGGAGAGGGGTAAGGAGCGGGGGAGTGGGGCTGTTTATCCCAGTAACTCCCCTACCTCCTCCTTGGACCCCGTCCAGCAAGAGTCCTTCAGCCTGCCTGCCTCTCCTCCTGCTGGTCTTCCTCTCTCCGGCTCTACCCCTCCTCACAGAGAGGACCCAGCTTACAAAAGTGTAAATATCCCCTCAGGCTACTTTGGCTAATTATTATTTAAATGGTGTTGCAGTTAGGCAGTGATGTGATCTGCATTAGCAGATTGTTAGGCTGGTATCTCCCCGTAGGAAGTGAAAGAGTCACCTCACTGTGATCTTTGCTAATAAGCCCAGGTGTTGACGCTTAAATGGCCATGGTGGGTTTGTTCACCCCTGTCACCCAGCTTGTGAGGGCAACTCTAATCTTTAACCTGCCTGCTCCTACATTATCCAGGCATCGAAAACAGTAGAGGAGGGATTTGAATCAGAATACATTTCATTATCTATTAATATGCAGGATACATGTTACTAGTCCTTTTCATGTTGCATCTGCTGCAGCGTCGTAAACACACTCTAACACCTCTACACCTTTGAACATTGACATTAAATCTACCATGATGTCATACCATGAGGTGTAAACAAGCAACGAGAGATTAAAACACACACACACACACACACACACTCAAACATGCACACCCAGACAGTGTAGTTCTGCCATCTTGCTCGTGTCCTGCTCCTACAAAGTTTGTACAATAGTTTTGAAGTTCTCCCAGGTTTCATTTTTATTTCATCGACCCTTCGTGTTAAGCTTGAGTTTTAATTGCTTTTTTAAATAATACACAACACAACAGTTTAAAACATATATATGAATAAAACGATGAAGCGCCACAACAATCCAGAAAAGACAAGCCATAAAACATTTGTCCTCTATGTGATTGTGTCATATTTACTATTTAATTTTTATTGTTTTATTTAATTTTGTGAACACACACACAGGTTTAATTCTATTTTAATCAAATTCTTAGTTTTTTTTTTAACCCTCTTCTGTCACAACTTATACATTTACAATCAAGATGAGACATTCGAAGAGAACAGACGTCCCACCTTGAACTGACCATGTGAATCCAGAGACAGATAGACATGAAAAAAAAGCTTTTGTACAGATTTGAAATGATTTCATATCAAATGACGTGGCTGGTAAAAAGAAGAGCATCGGACTGCATTTGCAAAACGGTGAAATGTATTTATTGAAAAAGATTATCTTTGGAAAGAGAGCAGAAAATAAAATCACACAAATACTCAAAATGCTGCAGCTTCTTAAAATACAGATAGACACTCTGGAGCATGAGTGAGTTGAAATTACAGCCTTTACTGTAGCTTTTTTGATTTGTCTGCCCTGTGATATTAAAACTGCACAATGTCTGATATGAAAAGGAAAGTCTCACCAACTTTACGATGTTTCCAGGTTCCCAAAAAAAGAGATGAAGGACTTCCTGTGTACATCACCAAAGACAACTCCAGCCTTTCTGGTGAGCAAAGTGTTTACTTGGTTGGCTTGAGATGACACTGTAAATACTTCACTATCTTTTTTTCTTTATTAGTTTTTTTTTTTTACGGTTGAATATATTTTCACAGTCTGTCGTATGAAACCTCTGAGTTAGTTGTATTTTTGTATTTTCAGCCCCTTTTTTAACGGGTTTTATTGAGCCTTTATGTCCCTGCGAGGCTTTTCCTACGGTGTGTCGTTTGCTCGTCTCACCTAACACTCTGATTACCGCTTATGAAAATGCCACATGTGTGTTTTGTGATGCCGTGCCCGTGGATACACGTGCACATAACAGACACGCACCTTTGTCTGTACGAATATCCGGATCAACATAACTGAAACTCTCTCGTTTGTTTCTTTGTTCGTTTGTCTTGTCAGATGAAAACAAAGAGCAAAACAGTTTTTTTGTACAAGAGGGTGAGACGTTGGCTTCGGACTACTGGAGGGAAACAGCAGGTATAAAACACACACACACACACACACACACTTATGTTTCTTATGATGTGGTTTAGGGATGGTAAAGAACAATTGGATCCATGAATTTTAAGCAGAATTTTAAAAGAGCTGCTAAGATATTTTCCAGAGGAGTATCATCAGAATGTCGAAATGAAACTTGGATTTCTCTAAATAATGAATAATGAACACGGTATGAATCAGAAATCATGATAAAAAACCAACACTTTCAATAAAAAGCTTGTTAATTTTAGGATACAAAGAGCATGAATATGATTTATTCTAGTGTGACATTACATTTAACGTTGGAAGTCAAATCCAAACCTATTTGACGTAGATGTGTTTTATATAACAGCGTCGAAAGAGACAGTTCAGCCAAACAGACTTACGCCTTGTAAAAAAGTTGCCACAGATGTAACAAACAAAGCTGATAACTTCTCATAACGCAAAAGAGATTCAGAAAAGGTAAAAGCAGTCAGGGGGAAACTCTCGAGTCTACATTCCCCCCTAATCTTCTTTCAAACAGTGAGGCGAGAGGGTCATATGACACACAGAGATGTGAGACAGCAGCACAAAGCTGCTTCCACAACAACAACTCCGCCACATCTGCTTTCTTCAGCGGTGTCGCCAAGAATGTTACTCTTAGGGGGGCCGTTATAGTTCAACAAGAAAACATCAGCTCAGATATAAGCAGCCATGCTGGCAATCTCCATCCTAGACCCATATCGCCACCAACATAATTGCCTTTTTTTTTCTTTCTCAGAGCAAAAAAAGCCTTTCCTGTTTGGAAAAGATCACAGCTTATTGCCTTTTTATATCTGTCAGGAAGACATTAAAAGTGCTTTATGACATCTGTGCCAACATTTTTATCAAGCCCCCCTCTCCCTCAACCCCTACACACACGCACTGTAATGATCCCTGTGCATAATGTATAATGTATTTCGAAAAATTACACGAAACAAATTAAATGAGACCACCTTTCCCCTGATTGCCAAACGTCTCCCTGGGCGGTGGGAAGCTCTACGTGATTAGAAGGCCTGATTCCTCTGAGTCCCACCAGCCCCCCTCCACTGTCTTTAAACTCTCCTTCTGTTTCTAGGGAGAAAAAATAATCTAATTTTCCATTTATGTAATGCAAACCGCCTTGGCTTTGACTATTCACGGTTAATTGACTGTCAAACGAGGTTGTTATCCTCAGGCACTGTCTGCGAATTTGCTTGTCAAATGAGACATAGAGAGGGAAGGAAAGGAGTGAGTAGAGGAGGAAGATAGGGATAGAGCATTATGTGCTCTACATGAGACAGGGAGAAGCATATAGGGATACTCAAGAAGGCAGGATATGAAATGACTGAGAGAGAATACCTATCAAATATACTCGATTGTTCAATTAAGGAGTAAACTGCTGCCCTGTCTCAATTCAAGCCGTCGTGCACAAAGTCATACGAGAAGAACGACGCAGAAGCTAACGTACCGCTTAATTTAAAACAGAATTATGTCGTTGGCTGGAACAAAGTCGTAGAAGATAACAAGGTTAAAAACAATTAGTAGGCTGCTTTAACTATTAACACAGTGCACACAGAGTACACATCATATTAAAGGCTGTTCACCGAAGAGCCTGCTGTCCTCACAGTGTTTTAATACCACTAACATCCTCCAAATAATTCACATTAAAAAAAAAAAAAAGAAACTTTGCTAATATAAGTTTTTTGGTGTCCTAAAAATACAATCAAATTATTGTATTTAATTTCAACATTTCAGAAAAGCTTCAGTTTTCAAGTGATATAAGTTCTTATTAAAATTTCTGAATTGAAATAGTTTTTTCTTTGTTTAATCTTGAATGGAAGTGATACAATATGAAATCAAAACAGGACTTATCATATCAGAGAGACATAGTGCAACAAAGATCTCCAGCTGCAGAGCTCACACATTCTTCCAACAAGCACATACTGACACCTATAGGCCAAAGATTTAATAGCAGGACTCCAAAGAGACTAAAAGGCGATGGTGAAGGGTTTAACTATTGATGCACAAAAGCGTGATTATGTATCAATAAACATGCTGTCTGAGGGTGGAGAAAAGTAAAATGATTCTAATCTGTTCTTTGTGCCAAATGTCACCATATGTCTGACGTGAAATGCAGTAAATCTCTTTATGTTTTAGGGGATCGAAACCACGGTGCTTCCTCCCCTGTTCAACTAAAGAAAGACGTTGAAAGCATGGAGAAAGGTATGAAAACTCTCTACTCTAAGCTTTTCCCACTCCGACACTGACTACACGGGAGAAATCCAAGTCCTGCAAATATTTCTTCTGGATAAATTATTGTTCCTCTGACTTTTTTCTTCTTCTTTCCACTCCTGCAGAGGAACTCCAGAAGGTCCTACTGGAGCAGATTGACTTCAGGAGGAGACTCGAGCAAGAGTTTCACGCTCTGAAGGGAACATCGCCATTCCCAGTTTTCCGTAAGTCACATTTTCACCTCAACTCCCCCTTTTTTTTATACTTTGAGTCTCTGTCTTTCAGATTTTGGGTAAATAATTGATTTTGCACTATTCCAGATAACTTCCAAGACCAGATGAAACGAGAGCTTGCCTACAGAGAAGAAATGGTCCAACAGTTACAGATGGTAAGATAACCAATAAATGCTTCACAAAGAATAAATCATACACTTTGGGATGCAGGAAATCTTTTGGCTTAAAAATAATCATGACAGTGGTTTTGGATATGATCAAAACTTACTGTCGAGCACTGTATGAGGAGAATCCAAAACACAAAATAAAACATTCATAGCTGAAATTACATTATAGATATGTGAATGTGCAGGGGTAGCTGTAAATACAGACTTCTTGAAACTAAAATACATCACTTCAATAGTGGCATCACCTGGTGTTGCTTGTATGACCATCAAAAGGCCGAGTCAGTTAGTCAAAGACAGTTTGTTTTTTATGGCTGAGCGGTTCCTCTGCTGCTGTCTGTGGGTTTCTGTCAACATCAATCACCCCAGCAGTCGGCAGACAGGCTGACAGAAGGTGTTCATCTTTGCTTTCTATAGACAACTTCACATTTTTATATGTCTAAAATCTCAGACCGCTCACACACCCATCACACACAGCATGCTGTACTCATGCTATCACAAAAGTGGATGACGGAGCGGGTAATCAGACTCATTTATGAGCACTCCAGGACAGAATAAAGTGTATAAAAATGCCAACCTGGAAACTGTGGCTGAATCCAACAGATGGATATGACTAAGAGTTACAACATCAACGTAAATTTAAGATTTATATTGTCGTCTCATTCGTAAATTGAACTAAATCTGATAGGTCAAGGTCCTGATTTCTATTTCAGTATCAAGTATAATTGAAGAGTCTGATTTTCCAGGTACATTTCCTCTATGAAAACAGGATCCTGTTTTTTAAGTTGTCTTTTTAGACAAAACAATTGTATAACCCCATATGTAATACATTGATTCGTATTCAGAGTGAGGAGTCGTTTTGCATGGTGACACCTCAGCCAGTCTAGTATTATAGAAATGGTATAATGTTCATATTATTGTCTACATCATGTCTTTGTAAATTTAGTCTAACACTGAGTGTATTTTACTGTATTTTTAAATTTCAGATTCCCTACGCAAACCTCATCAGAAAAGAAAAGATCAACTCTCATCTGAACAAGTGAACAGAGGTAAGTGTCGGATATTTCTTAAATCATGCTGCTTTTCAAAGGAAATTATGAAGTTTAACAACATCTCATTTCTATTTCTATTTCTATTCATTTATTTAGCACAGATTAGAAACAGTGTAAGGAGGGAACGAAGCCGATAGGCTTATACAGAGTTCCACTCCTGTCAGGGCAGTGAAGGCATACGGTGCAAACAACAAAGTAACTAGGACATGGAAAGGTTATAAATATACGAGTAGGGAAAGGTCAAAACATATACAAACTGTCATAAATAGAACATGGGCAATATAGAGATAATACACAGAGATGGAGACAATATAAGTATACATAAAAAGCAAAGAAACATGATCATAACAAAAAATGATTAGATGAGATTTCAATGATATTTTAAAGGATTTGAAGGATAATATTGATTTTAGAGATGCATCCAGATTATTCCATAGTTTCAGTCCTCTAAATATTAGACCCAATTATGATATTTTTCCCATGAAAGGGACAACAAGAAGAGATTTCGATAAACTCAAATTCCACTCGAATATTTTCTCGTGGTTTTGGAATCTCTTTTCTCGTGGTAAAGTTGTAGTCTTTGAGCACATATGAGGAAACTCCTCCTCTGACCTTGTTTTTTCTGCATGAATGGATAGAATTATACTGAGATATAGGGTAAAGATATGTGATATCATCCTTTAACCAGGTTTCTCATCTCGTTGTTTGATCCAAACTAGTTATAAACAAAATCATGTTGATCACAAAGAATTACCCGCTGAAACGGTTTTTAAGTATAAAAACAACAACAACAACAAAAAAAGACCTAAATGTTATTGTCTTGTCTTTTTATTGTCCTTACAGGTGGAGTCAGCTGTGTCCCGTTTGAGAAGTAGAAACCTCCTGGATTTCTGTGAATTACCAAATGATAACAATAATAATAATATTAATTGATGTTATTATTATTATTGTTCAAAAAAGACTGGAGGGAACTGATAGAAAATATTGACATGATCTTGAATATGTCCTTATTCAGTATTGATCCAACTTTTCCTGGAACACAACCTTTATTAAAGCCCCTAAGTCAAAGACACTTACTGTCTGGGAAGGACACATTCGGACCACTTTGGACCTCTGAGGCTCTAATAGAAGTTTCATACCCATCTCTCATTGGGAAAACTTCATTGTTGCCCCTTCTGTTAAACTCAAAGCTCATCCCAACTAGGATTAAAGCAAGCAGATACAACCTCGCTATTTTTTTCTATTTTTTTGAGTTTGTCCACCAGGGGAGCAGTGGTAGTCTTCCTCAAAAAATGTACAAACCCATCAAAGATGAGGAGGAAGCGGATACTCATAGAAATCCAAGAACCTGACAGCTGCTGGGTAGTGTATACATACACCAAATTGTGCATGAGGAACTTCACTCGACAGTTTCTGTTCTTGTCAAAAACCAGTCTCACTGTGGTTTTACCAAGTAATTTGGACCTGTTAATGCTTCCTGACCAAATGATCAGTGATCTTAAAATAGGGATCCATTGTTGGTGTTGAGTTTAAGCACCAAGGCTGGGTCTGCTAGATGTCCTTGCCTGGATAATGCCAGATGAAAAGCTCTTTGGATTGGACCCCAAAATCAGACCAGTATTTGAAACAATGTGAGAGTGTCAGGCTTTATTCTGTCTAAACACTGTCAGAATAGTTACCCAAAGGTTCATTACAAGGAAGAATCTGAATTAAAAAAGAAAAATGCACATACAGTATTGTGGTCAGTGGAAATGTCGCTGTTACATTTCTTTAAAATCACCATCACATCTACCCAGAAGAAGGGTAGAAATGCCACCAGCTTGGTGTGTTTTGGACATTGGTAGATGGTAAACAAACCAATAGTTTGTTCATTTGTTTGCAACCCCAAGTGTCTGAGACAGAAATTGTGGACTTTGTTGCAAACCTACTTGTAAATTATTTATAATCTGTCTGTATAGAATATTCTATGTGAAAAGTTAACAATCAGATTATCTATATGTGTTTGTTTGTTTGTTTGCTTGTTTGTTTGTTTGATAATTAAAGGATCAGGGCTTCAGACCCTGTTTGTGAAATACATTATTTATTATAATGTTGAAGCAAAATACAACTGGCATGATAACGATGATGAGGTTGATATCTGAGGGATCAGGTGTGCCACAAAGAATTAAATGATATCTCATTCATCTCCCCATGGATCATGACTAATTGGTAAAAGTTGTCATTTTCTAAGACAAATTTATTAGAAGAAACTGTTCATGCAGATGTATTATTATATGTTCTTGTAGTTTCTCTACTATTTATGGTACATTAAAAGTCTACAACAACCATGTTCAGGCCTGTTTCTTTAAAGACACAAACATAAGAATTGAAACCTGTTGAGGGTTGGGATTTTAAAGGATCCAGAACTAGACTGGAAAACATGAAGATGATGCAAATGGTTCTGAGTGAGACTGAAAACTGGTGAGTTCTGGCAGTGTTGGGCTTCCGTGGATAGGCTGTGGAGTTGTGTGGCTGTAGCCTGATCATGCAGGATCTGTACACATAGATAATCCAGGTATAGGAAACCCAAAATGGAAGTTGAAATGGATACTCTGATGAAATAAAAAGTACAAAGTCTATTACCCACCATGAATTTTCTATTAATCTACTGCATCTGTTGGCAGTTTAAGGCGTCGGCAAAGGTTGCTAGACTGACGTTTACATGGTGTTCCCTCATCATTGAGGGTACTGTAATCATATGTCATTATAATACATAGTTGTCCTTATACTGCACTAGAATAGCTTTCTGGGGAGATTACATTTGATGTCATTTTAACCACCTTTTAACATAGCTTGCCCGAGTAACACCAAAATGATAACTTATGAAATGTGTGCATTATAACAGCTTTGATACTTCGACCATATTTTACAAAAACGAGGAACCTGTTTGTTTGAAAAATCATCACAATGGATGCATGGTTTTTATTTACTGCTATTTCTCCCTATCAGTGTAAAATTCCCCATTATGCATTTGTCTGTAAATGGTTATAAAAAAGGTATCAAGTTTGCCTTGATACCGGATAGAAGCTTCAGTACAGATGCCTTGAAATGAAGACATCTGTCCTTAAATTAAATCCTTTGTGACTGGAGATAAAGTACTTTAAAAGAGATTTTGTTCATTTCTAACTGTGTAAAACTTGAGGAACAAATCAGAATAAAGATTTTAAAAAGAATTGATGTCAAACAGGTAAGTCAGTGGCCTTTGCATAAACAGTCAAACCTCCATCACTTCTGATCAATCAATAAACATATGGCTATTGCTGTAGTCTAGTAAAAAGTTACCAACTCCAGAGCTGTGGTTGGAGACATTTGTATTTTTCTCATCCATGTAGTGTGTATTTCTTTGCTTCTTCTCTGTATTTCGCTTACCTTTCTACGTTTGTTTCTATTTTTTTCTGCTTCATTCCATTAGTAATCCAAGAGTGTGCTGAAATATCACCATCTATTTCCGAGCTAACCTCCAAAAATATTTTTTTGCTCGCCCTCCTGTCCTCAGGACTCTAAATACGTGGAAACGGATCTCCTGGAATTAGAAGCATATGTTTATCAGAGAGATTTAGCCACTAAAGCTACTTTAGTCTGTGATTAGTAAGAGTTTAGCTGTGGGTTTAGAATTAAATTTGTAAGCGGTCATAGGCGACTACATGGTTATTTATTTGCAGTTCACAGGTCAGGATGTGAGGTTTTTTGGTTTTAAACAAAAGGGGGAAAAAAACAAATTTGTCTGGTTTGTTTCTGCTATTTTCAGTCAGGAAGTAAAATGACCAATTTTAATCTCCTCTTCAGTTCAAGCTATTCCACTTACACAAAGTGCTTCACACAGAAAAAGGAATAAAAGAAACAAAGACTACCCAAATTTACCCCTACCCAAGATGAAAAGAATACCCAAATCAACCCCAGCCCAACCCCTCATTCCCACCTCACGATCTAATTGCAACAAAAACAGTATTAAAATGCATAAACTTGAAAAAAGCTTGATTTCGTGGAAACAGTAATGTGCCCACTTAGGAAACGTCATTTTAAAACTTAAGATAAGGAGACACTGGAGGTTTAGGTTAAAATCTAAAAACAAAGAAACAAAGACTGGAATTTAAGAAATAATACATAAAATGAAATACAAACAACAGTAAAAGATACTAAGATAAGCACACCACAATAGCTCAATAAAAGACAATCTTGTGATTAAAACTAGAAAAGAAATGCTAAAACACTTAAACAGAGTTAATGATATAAAATTTAGTTAAAAGCACGACTAAAAAGATATGTTTTCAGTACCTGATGTACCTGAATGCCACTAAGTTCTCTTAAAATGATACACACAGGATTCACAACAAATATTATACTCCATCCATAATAAGAAATGCAGATAGTATGCCCGCTGTTAATATGATGTTTTTCAGTTTTTCCCAGATGGTGATCAAAAGTTACTTGTGTGCCTCAACAATTGTATGGATCAATAAAGGGGGAAGTAAATAAATACATTTAAAGGGGTGTGTAAAACCTAAACAAAAAAAAAAAAAACAGCTGAAGGAAAAGTTTGGTGTTGAAAAACTGAAACTATACAATTAAAATATAACTGTACTGATAAATGAAAAACAAACAAAGAAAAGGGGTTGAAATATTAGCTCCTTTCCTACCTCGCGTTTTCTACAACTTTAAGCTGAATTTATTTACGTAGAAAAAAAAGGGAAAACTAGAAAATAACCTTGACATTGAGTGTTGTTCAGCAGAGGAGTATGAAAAGAGGATTTGTCTCGTGTTATCTGGCATCATCCAGAGAGGGTTGTAATCATTTTGATAATACCTCCAACCATATTAAAGCTATTTGAATGCCCGAAAAGACCCACTAATGCATTACATATGTTTGTGCAAAGATGAATGGGGCGTATGTTTTTATTATTATTATGATTATTGTAATGAGTCATTAAGTGATTAAGGATAACCCTCTTATATGTGTTTATGACATTAGTGGACAAATCATAACTGTGAGAAAAACATACTGAGGCAACAAAAGGAAATGTTGAATTAAGAAATTTCAATTTTGTAACCTATAAGTAATGTGATTCAGGAAAAAGAAACAGTAATTTATTGAAGACGGTAAAACTTGTGGCGGTTTGAGCTGCAGGGGGCCACCTTGAGCTCAGTGAGAGGAAAAGTCACTTCAAACCAACGAAGAAGAAAACATCAACAGGAAGCAGTTAGAGGGGCTGCAGTTGGTGGTAAGGGTTAACATTCATTTTTAGTGGATTTCTAACATATCTAGTGCACGTAATTCACATTATATGCATTTACAGTTGTTTGGACCAGACAGACATCAGTCAATAAGCAGAAAGTCGACACATTTAAGTGAACATGTACAGTAATACCAGCGTCCTCAGTAGTTATCACAGGATTCTGCCATGAAGAAGGAAAGTTCATCTCTATCACATTAATTTTATTAGATTTTTAAATGTTTTTCAGATTAATTATTTATTTTGAAGGGGGAAAGTAAACTATTGTAAACACTAACACAATTGTCATACAGTACAGGCCAAAAGTTTGGACACACCTTCTCATTCAATGACTTTTCTTTATTTTTTTTTATGACTATTTACATTGTAGATTATCACTGAAGGCATCAAAACTATGAATGAACACATGTGGAATTTGGTACTTTTAAAAAAGGGTGAAATAACTGAAAACATGTTTTATATTCTAGTTTCTTTAAAATAGCCACCCTTTGCTCTTGATGACAGAAGTCACAACAGTAAAAACATTTCAGGAGACTACCTCATGAAGCTCATTGAGAGAACAGCAAAAGTTTGCAGCGCTATCAAAAAAGCAAAGGGTGGCTAATCAGAATGATCATCATTTTGATAGAGTCCAAAGCCATCTGTTGAAAATGTTATGAAATATTCCTTAAACGCTCAGGAAACAATGCAAATCACATTCAAAGTCGTGTGTGTGTGTGTGTTCGTGGGTATGCATGCATGCATGTGTGTGTGCATGTGTGTAAATGTGAACAAGCACTTTGGGGGTTGGTATTAACAGAATTAATTTTACCCTCACATTGATAACTACATGACAAAAATCCAAGCGTGTCTAAATAATAGGAGATAAAACGGTCATAATTCGATCCCAAAATCTGTATTTTAGGCAGGAACTATTGAGACAGTATAATCCTCTTAGTTCATCCTGATACAGGTTTGAACAACCGAGTAATCTGATTGACTGTTTTACTGCTGAATTATTATAAATGCATCCTCTCTGACATGTCATTATTATCAAAGTAAAAGAAAAGGCTTATTTAAACTGTGTAAAGCTTCATTTGCAGCGACCTAAGCTGATTTTAGAGTGCCAGAGGAAACGTAAATCCAAATCAGAGCAAGCTTTGCAGTGAACTACGCCATCACCCCTCTCAGCACTTTGTTGCAGGTTTCCATCATGGCATGCAGAAAAGCTGTGAAGGCTGTGCTCATCGACCTGAGTGGAACTCTTCATATTGAAGACACAGCAGTGCCAGGGGCGCAGGATGCACTACAGAGGTAGAAAAACAGCTCATGTTCAGACCTTAGACCAACATCGAGGCAGATGAAGACACAAATGCCCCTGTCATTTAAATTATTACTTTTAAAATGAGCTGAACTTCTATGTCTCCTGATATTTGGTGTATCCTTTCTTGTCTGGGTGAAGCTCAGTTATGTTTTTTAATAATACATTGTTCAAATCAGCAGAATACAAAGTAGGGAAAGTTAACAGTCCCCAAAGCAGGTACAGGCCAGAAAATTTGAGCAGTTGGACATATAGTGTAATATTGCAAGTATAATGAAATATAATACCATGTACACCATAAATCAATCACTGCTTTACTGTTTTTAATGGTGTGATAATTTGCTTTGGTTTCAGGTTACGGAAGGCTGCAGTAGCTGTAAAGTTTGTGACCAATACAACAAAAGAAAGTAAGAAGAACTTACTGAATCGACTGCAACGTCTCAACTTCAATGTTCAGGTAGAAAAAAACAAAAACAGTATATTTGATACAGTGCAATTGTAATGTCAAAGACCCAGGAGATGAACTGCATAATAAGGAAAAAGTTTGCAACCTAATGGGTTCACTTTAAGAGTGAGGGAAATTTGGTCAAACTCCTGTCAGAAAAAAAACTGTTGAAGGATCACCCCATATGATTTGATAAATTCATCTTAACACAGTAAAGGATCTGTATTTGCTTTGACTTCTGGAGTGCACTAGTTTAATGTTACTTGAATCTCACTCTGCAGGAACAAGAGATCTTCACTTCACTCAGCGCAGCAAGGAGTCTGCTAGTACAAAAACAACACAGACCACTTCTGCTGGTGGAGGACAGTGCGCTGGAAGACTTCAGTGGTGAGGAGCTGTGGGTGTTTGTGTCTACTTGAGACTGATGATAGCGTTGTTTTTGCTCACTGCTGTTAGAATTCAGTCACATGTCGTTCCTTATGGCACAGCTTTTAAATTAACTATTCGTATAATGTCGCATTGGTAACAAATGACATACACTCTCCTCAAAGTATGCTGAAGACCAACAAAGTGATGGACCCAGAAGGTCTGCTTTGGGGCAGCTGGGGTTTTGCTCTCCATTTCTAGGCTGCTTACATAACATGATGTTACAACTTAGCTGACTCTTTGTAGACGACATATTCCTCCTTTTTCATTCTACATGTTTTATTTGTACTCTTATTTTATGAGGCAATCAGGTCTCTTGATCTTATATAGGTGCAGCTCAAACACAAGGTCCTGAAAAAGTACATTTTTCCCCCAATTTAATTTAAAAAGTGAAACTTCAAAGACCTGCTCTTTTGTAACACTTTATAGAACTGGTGCCGTGTGATTAATTGTTTGATTATTTGATTGGCTAAAAGAAAGGTAGATACATATGCCATGTCTCTTCATCTCAAGGTATTGACACTTCAGAGCCAAATGCTGTTGTTGTTGGACTGGCTCCTGATCACTTCAACTACCAAACCCTAAACAAGGCCTTCAGGTAAAGAGTCTCGGTCATATTATTTAGTAAATTACAGATCCTTTAAAGTCTTTATTAGCAGTTGACATGATGTTTATTTTTAAGGGTAGCTTGAAATCACCTGTGAACCGAAGTTGTACCCTCTGTTGCAGTCTGTTAGACCTCTTGTTTGGCGTGTCTGTTCCCTAGAATGATACTGAGTGGAGCTCCTCTTATTGCCATCCACAAGGCTCGGTACTACAAGCGTACGGATGGTTTGGCCCTTGGTCCTGGGCCCTTCGTAACGGGACTTGAATATGCCACAGACTGTAAAGCTACCGTTGTAGGAAAGCCAGAAAGTACTTTTTTCACACAGGTGAAAATTTTGTTTTATAATGTTTCAAATTTCAAATGAGACACTTAAGAGTAGATAAACACATGGTGACAAACTGTACAGTCCACTTTTAGAGACATTTTTGTGTCTCCTTTTTCCTGTGTCATTTTTGTGGCGTTGTTTAAAGAAGTTTAAAGGTCACGAACGTTAATTTACATCAAAATGAGACCTCTATCTTTCAACAGGCTCTGTCAGATGTCGGATGTGGACCAGATGAAGCTGTCATGATAGGGGATGTAAGTATAAATTGTGCAAAATGCTCCATTATCAGAAAGTGTTTTTTGAGCACATACTGATTTAAAATGAGTAATTAATGATAATCCCAGTTTTTACACATTCACATTTTAATAAAGTATGAACAAATATAAAAATTATTAGTTGCCTTGAGGCTGTCTGTATTTTTCCATAGGATGCAAGAGATGATGTGGGTGGAGCCCAGAATGTAGGCATGTTGGGAATTCTGGTGAGAACAGGTAGGATAGAAATTTCCTCCAGTTTACTTTTGTCTCTTCAGCATTCACACATCCGTCAGACTCCTACTTTTGCACAGCCATCAAATAATGTGATTTGACTCCATCTCATCCCTCAATCTTTTTTTTTTTTTTTATAACATGTTTCTCTCTTCACTTTGGTCTTAACAGGATTAGCTACAGTTAAAACTAGTCCTGGTTTAATTCTTGTTCTTTCATAACTATGCCTTCCTTACTTGTGTCATCTCTTAGGTAAATACAGAGAAGGAGATGAGAACAAAATCAACCCTCCTCCCCACCTAACATGCAACAGTTTTCCAGATGCAGTCGAACACATCTTGATGAACCTCCTATAATAACTGTTGGGAAAAGCCCAAAATGTCATGTAGCTGTCATGTAAATAAATAAATGTATTCAAACTGTCCATGTGAATGTGACTCCACTAAAGAACAACAGAAATGAAATAAAGAATGTATTACAAGAAACTGCCCTCTGTTGCCCTCCTAACAAATACTTTTGCGTCACAATGTTTTCCCATAAGTTAAACAAAAGACCAAAGTTTTCATGTAATTTTCCAGGAACTTTTCAAGTTACATTATAATTGATATCAGCTTTTTTATGGGAAGTTACATGACAAACAGACTATACTGACAACTTAATTCCAAACTCACAAATGTGCAGGCAGTGTTACTTTTTTGATCTAGCGCTTAAAATAAATTAAGTTTTTTTAAAAATAAATGAAATAAAGTCCATCCCAGCAGCATGTCAATCTGATACAGTAAACAGAAAAATCAGTTTCTATTGGGGCTGCAACCTATGAATGGAGTTGTGGATGTGAGAAGATCAAAATTACTTAATAAACTCTTATTTTTGGCCAGAAACTGTATAAAATTTAATTGGATTAGTGAGAAACCTCCCACCATAACTCAGTGGTATATGGACATTTTGAGAGTTTTTCCTATGGGAATGCCATTTAGTAGTGCCAACTTAAAAAGGAAATGATGACACTGTTTACGGACACATAGTGGCCTCTAATTTATTGCTTGCCTTAAGGTCTAAGGGAAATTATTTCTACTTTATTTGAATTTGGCTTATTAATTTTCTTACCTAGACCAGACCACCTTTTAATGATGTTTGCTTTTATGTATTGTTGATATGAAAATTCTGAAAAAAAAAATTGAATTATTTAAAATCCCCTGTTCCTTAGACAGACTTGAAGTCTCTCTCCCAAGCTGTGAATCTGTCCATCAGGTTTCCAGCTGAAGGTTTGGTGTGAGAGATGACTTCCTGAAAGTCAGCTGTTGTCACAGTTTCCAGCTTGATCGCCGTCATGTCAAGATCTCCTGAGAAGAAGAATCCCAGAGGAGTTTTACTTAAGGGCTCCGGACAGGGAAACATGGCTTTAGTGGTGTGGGTGTGGAGTTTGTTCTACCCGTGTGATGCGATTCGAGAGCGTTGAAAATCTTGCGTACTGGTCTCATTGCAGCCTCCTTACAAACCAGTCTTACATCAGATCCGGAGTAACCATCCATCTCCTTAAACACATGAAAACAGCACTTATGTCGATAAAGCCTTGTTGATGTGTACTGAGTTGACGTCTTACTGTAATGCGTCTCCTCAGCAACAAAACAGCAATTTTTTAAATAGTTTTTTTTTTCTTCATATTAGCGATTTTAACCTCACAAAGTACTAAATCTTTCTGTGACAGACCTTTGCCAGAGTTTCATAGTCCAGCTCGGTTCGTAATTCCACCCCACCAGGTGCACTAAAACGGGGCAGCCAATGAGAAATCATGGCTCGGCGAGCTGTCGGGGAAGGAAGATCCACCAGAATCCTTTTCTCTAACCTCCTCAGCATTGCATGGTCCAGTTCCCTGGTCACAGAGCAGAGACAGTTAACAGTTAAAATTTAGCAGATAGATGATGAGTTATGATTCATCCAGTCCAAATATATCCTGAATTTGGAAAAAAAAACAAAAAACAATAAAATCAGGTGATCCAATACTGCAACCTCACTTGAACTAAGCAAAGCAAGAGGAAGGAGAGAAAACTTTGTCATCAGGAGACAACATGAAATATTTTTTTGTGCCTTGCTGTCATGTCTGTCCATTTATTTCAGTGTTTTTGCAAACTCAAACTCTGGCTTGCTTTCATAAATTTGATAAACAGAAAACACATTTGAAATTTGGTGTGCACTGTGCTGAAGTGTTACCACGGTAAGTTGGAGGCAGCCAATAGAAACACAAGGTCGTCAGATTTTGCGAGTCCATCCATCTGAACCAGAAGCTCAGCCTTCATCCTGCGGCTCCCCTCATGCTCTCCTCTGAAAACAAATCAAGATCAATCAATCATTAAAGAGAGACACCAACAAAAAGAAGCCATCTATGCAGTATGCTGGAGGATATTTCAGCTTTTCAAGGGCAGACTGTGCGGATGTAACTGGAGTTTAGATGAATATTGCAATGTTCCAGTTTCATTTGGAAGACACTTTTGTCTAAAGGGACACAAACCTCAGAGTAATTACAGATTACAGATCTAGATAGGAGGGAATTGACTAAATGCTTCAAACTGCTTCAAGTCTGGTCAGATGTAGATGCTGCCATGCAGTGCCACAGGGAATGTGAAGGGTGTAAAGACCCAGTTTTTATTTTTATTGATTATATCATCTTCACAACATGTAAAATACTGGGAGCACAAACACAACAACTTTGACTCCATTTTCCCATCTCAGGGAAACTTTAACAGTTTAGGGGTGAGTCTTATCAGGATACAATTTTGTTTACATTATAAACCAGTATACAATTTACACCCAGATACCAGCTGAGCAGATAGAAGGGTGAACAAGTAGAGGCACCAGAGGAGAAAATCCTTCAGCTTCAATATCAAGGAGGGACTTTCAGTTCACTGCAGTTTTTGGTTCATCTCACCCCATGTTGGTGGCTCCTCTGTGGCTCATCACTGACTCAAAGTCATCCAGGAAAATCGTGGATGGGGCGTGGTATCTAGCCAGCTCAAACAGCACCTGCAAGTCATAATTTAAAAAAACTAAATTATATACAAAGTAAATCAGAGTTTACAGAACTCAGCATTTATAAAATTGATAAACTGGATCTGGTGTAGAATCCATACCCTAACTAGTTTTTCAGAGTCCCCTCTCCACTTGCTCACAATACTTGAGGCTGAAATGTTGAAGAAGGTTGTCTTACACTCTGTCGCCACAGCCTTGGCCAGCAGTGTCTTTCCTGTACCTGTTTGAATGTTTGAGTACATTTCATGTAGGCTCATAATTTTCGTATCATCGCTTTTCTAAACAGACAACTTCCCAAAGGTTGACAGTGCTGGCTTACCTGGGGGGCCATAAAGAAGCATACTCTTCCAAGGTGATAAGATGCCTGTACATAGTTGGGGATACTAAAAAAGGGGGAGAGAGCTTTTTAAATTTACAATTCAAACATCGTTTAAACCCATTATTCTTCAAAATCAGAGAAAAATACAAAGCTGCCAGCAGAAGGTGCCATCTACAAAACATGCATTACCATACTTTAAAGGCCGACTGAAGGCTGGGCAGTCTGCTAATTAAACTGATTTGAATGGTGTATAGCATCAATATCAAGTGTATAGTCAGTAGTAAATACCACAAACCATAAATAAGCCTAAACTTATGAAAACAAGTAGTCCCTATCACAAGCTGACATTATACCCCAGAGAATGCATAACAGGATGAAGTTGGAGATTGTTACAAGGTGGCGTGAATAAATAAAAGGAGTGAGCAGAACAGAGGAAAGACAAATCAGTCCTCATCTTTGTCTGTAAACGTTAAGAGGATGTTCGGAAGTGTGACCCCTTATAATGATGTCTGTGTACCAGAATAATTTGCAGTTTCTGTACGCAACTGTATTGTGTGAAGGCAGCTAGGTACAAAAATTCTATATGATACTGCATATACGGGTATGTGTGCCCCTGCTTCCCTGCCTGTCAATCCATGTGTGTGTGTGTGTTTGCTACCATATTATCTCTGATATAGATTTAATGTCAGCCTAACAGACTGACCTGACCCATCTACCCTCCATCTCTTTAAGCCCTTTAAAGGAGATGTATTCCGAATCGAACAAAGGCGAACAGAGCTGGATAACCAGCACACCCAGGCGGTGGCCGCACCTTAATAGGATAGACGACAGCCTCCTTGACTAATCGCTTTGCATCCTCCAAACCGATGATGTCCTCCCAGCGCACATTGGGGCTGTGCAAATAGATGTCCTTTAGGCATGAAAACACACACATAAACACTGAGTGAGAGATATCAGCTAAGAACTGTCACACACATCCTTGTACGACGAGACTTATGTCATTTAGGTTGAAGCATCAGATAAGGAAAACAGATGCTAGCCTTGAGCTTCTTGATTGCCACACATCAATTCATCTACAACAAAGCTCTCCATTGCACTCTAGTGGTTATATTTCGTTATATATACATCTTTTGAGCACATTATCATGCCTCAGTTTTACGTGGCTTACTTTAGGATAGAAAAAACAGAGAGAAAATGTTCCTTAATAGATGTGTGTGTATGAATTACTCTGCTGATGATCACAGCCAGTTCTCTCATGTCATCACTCATTCCAGGAAAACCACTGAGGGGCTTCAGCAGCCTTTCCTGAAAAACATTAAATAAACTGATTAGTATTAATGTGGGACAATTGATTTGCAGTCTTTCTTGTGTTTTAGAACAAAGATTAAAAAGAAAAAAATTCACATGCTTGTTTTTTGACAACTTGTCCAAAGATTTTTCAAAAATATTTCTTTCTTTTTTGTTTTAATTACGTGTTAGCTGAGTTACAGCTGGCTCTTTTGACAGTGTCATGCATCAAATCCTTCCCGTCAGTCATCTGGCTCTTGAATTTACAGTTTTCAAAAGGTATAAAGTTTAATACATTCAACAAAACTGGTGACTTGATTCCTGTTTTAAATTTTTAATGTAGGGCACAGATTGATGTCTCGTACTGGTTTGAATAGATCTGTGTGTTTTCTGTATGCGTTTCTTTATTTTCTTAAGTAAAGAGCTTTTTCCAAAGACATTAGAGTTAGGCCAGTTGGTGCCTCAAAATTGCCAACAAGGTGTAAGTGTGAATCCTAGTTTTTCGCACAAATGTGGGTCTTGACATTTTCTCCTGTGCATTATGGCTTGAACAGAATTTTAAGAGTCAATCAAAGTCAATAAAAGTACATGTGAGTTCAGAATTATGACAAACAATGAAAGCAAGTTAACTTATGATGGATTACACTAAAACATTCCAGTATTTACTTTAATTTTTTGTAACTAAAACTGGGTAAATTTTAATGTATGAAAGTGAAAGACTAAGCTTTAATGGGTCATATTTGTAAACAAGAGTAATACTTCAGTACCTTTCTGCTCATGACTATGTCCCCAGTCGGACCACTTTTAATGGCGGAAACATGTAGACCAAACTCTGGCAACTCTGTGGGAAGAGAAGAGCCATTCTCCTGAAAAAAACAAAACAGACACAGATATAAGTGGATTTGTCTTGTTGTTAATATTGTTGGTTGTTGTATGTTTACCATACATTTGTATTTGAATTGGCAGATGTCTTCTTAACGCTGTTTCCAGACAGCGGGCGCTGGGACTGATTGATTCTTGGAAGAGGCTTTACAGATGAACAGGAAGTCCTGATGAACAATTTGTTAGTATTGTCAGCATATGTAGACAAGTTCTAAAAATAAAATAAAAAGTTAAATACAAGGGTTGGGGACACTTACCTCTTTACTCCACCACCTTTTGCAGAGCTGTTTTCACCTTAACCAACAAAAACAACATGTGACATTATTGCCTAAAATTGAGACATACGGTTTACCTGCACAAGTTGTAAACAACACAACAAGCATGGATCCATCCTGCTTTGTATCAGCAGTTAAGGCTGCTGGTGGTTGTGTAATAGTGTGGGTTTTTTTTCTTGGCAGACTTTGGGCCCCTTAATACCAACTGAGCATTGTGTAAACACAGAAGCCTACCTGGGTTTTGTTGCTATGCTCATTTTATGAGAGGGAGTTCCATTTGATTTGTGTAATATGAGGGAAATTTTATATATTAATACATTTTTAGAGACAATATAAGAGTTAGGACATGATTTTAAGGTGCTTTTTAAACTTTTGCTTCCTAATATGACCGATCTGCACACATACATTGATCTCATGGCTGTTGGGGAAAATGTTTCTTGTGTACTAAGTGTATTACCAGTGTGGTTGTTTACCTGACTCGGCTTTTCTTTTTGTAAGTTTTGGATATTTCTGGAATTTGACATAGTGATAGCTCTCGTACTCAGTCAGGATCATAGTCAAATCCACGTTGTCACAGACCTCGAACTTCTGGACACCTCCATTAGTCTCTTGGTCCAAGGTCAGAGCTGCAGTCATATAGCTGGAGGACAGACACACGACAAAGAACTCACACAAACCTTTTGAGACGACCATCAGAGAAAAACTGACATGTCACTGCACATGACCCTTTCATGTTCCTCATACAGACCCTTGCTCGAGCAGGTGTTGGTATATGAGGACGAGGAGGCTCTTCTTCCTCATCTCGGTCCTTAGCTCATCCTGTGGACAGCAACACAACTCACACTTACAGACTGGAACTTTTATAAACACAAATGTTGTCTTATTATTTATATATTTCAATGTAATCTAATAAAGACTTTTTTCTATTTTTTTATTGTCTATTATATATATTCTTTCCCCCTCCCCTCCCTCACAAAAGTATTTTTGTTATTATTTTTGTTGTTGTTGTCACTCTGTTGTGTTGTTATATAAATAATAATAATAATAATAATAATAATAATAATAATAATAATAATAATAAAAATAAAAATAAAAAAAACACAACTGTTGCCCCAATGTGATAAAAAAATGTTTCTGTGTGTTTAAGTGTAGGTGAAAATGGCTTCATGTTATTATGGTACCCTCGCTGCCATTGTGTTTTCCGTATCTAGGCAACCAGTGGACGCTGGTAGCCTACTGTGCAACAGGCGTATGAAGAAGTAGCTTCACAGCCAACTTTCTCCTGTGCGTTTGCGAGGATTTGCTGTATTAAATAAATATAGATTACAACGATATTGTTCTGGAAACCTCTAAAAGTGAGTCGACAGTTAATTTGGCGAAGTGCATGAAAAGTATCATGTCCCACTACCAAGTAGCCTACCATCAATAGTGAGCAGCATAAAGTTGCAAGGTTTTTTCAGTTTTTCGGACAAAATATACAGAAAACGTCCCCTTAATAACTTACCGCCTCTCGGGCTTGGTGGGCGATTTTCATCGACTGATACAACATCTCCACAGTGACTTTAAAAGACCGCTAAATCTCGTTTCCTGAGCTCGTCGTGGTCGGCTGTACATCACGTCTGGCCGTCGTAACGTAATGAGTCACCTCGTGTGCGTGCGCACGATTGTGTGCGTGTATGTGTGGAGGGGGACTTAAGTTGTTGTTGTAAGCTTAGTGATAAATGATACAAATTAAAGGACCTATATAGAAATTACGACCAATAAATAAATAAATAAATTAATTAATTAATTTAAAAAAAATAGAGGAGAGTGGGGTAAGTTGAGCCACCCCCCGTTGCTTGGAAATGGTAAAAGAAATTGATCATGTGACCAAATATTTATGAGATGGGCATCAATTTATGGAGTCTGTGAAGTTTAGAAGTACATGAGTATAGGGGTTAGACATTTATTTACAAAAAACATTTTTCACTCTTGAAAGTGAATTTAGTCTGTCATAAGTTGTATCAGAATTGTGTTCAGACCAAAAAAGAAGTTACCATTATGTCTCTGCTTTCAACTCAGTATAATAGTGTGTCTAACAATATACAAGAATAGACAGAAACAAACATCTGGATCAGCAGATTCAGGAGGTGTTAAAATGCAGGGTAACTTCTGCATAGAGAGACAGACGCTGGTTTTAATGAAACTACACTTTTGCCCCCAGACCATTTGTTTTAATGCGGATTCAGGAGCAACAGTCTTGAACAATCACATGTAACTCCTTTATTAAAACATCAACAGACACCTAAATCTGAGGAGGAGGGTTCTACTTCTTCTGTAGTAACGGTGTTCCCTCCACCACCACCACCCCCCACCCCTCGGGCCTTTACAGTTGCAGACAAGCCGTGCATCAATTACTCAGAGGACACAGAGATACAAGTTAAACTGGTTATCTATCCCACTTAGGGGCAGACCCTGCATGCACCTTCTGGTATTTCAGCTTCGGTCGCTTGTCTTCGATTCAGGATACATTACTTTTAGGGGCTTAAAGAGACAGAGTGCAGCTGGGTGAGGCAAGTGTGTCAGACTGACATTAAATCTATACAAGAAAGGATAAACACGCACACAAACAGATAGACAATTTGGTCAGAAAAGGGGGAACATCGTAAAGTGAATGTAAAGTACTAAGAGAGCACAGAAAACTACAGGTAGCATGTCAACCCACTACAGAACATGTGCACAACTATACATTCAAACACATTAGACTCAACCGCACACCTTCATGACATTAAAACAGTGCATCATATTCTGGCCTCTCCATACATGTAGGCAACAAATCAGGTTATCTGTGTCATTTTGGCATTTTCAGAGAGATGAGGACCAATGTATCAGTCCCCTAATCCATTGGTATTTTATATTGAATACAGCCTGCTCACACATCATTCCACCTACTCACAGTCATGCCCCAACATTACCTCCAACTCTCTTCAGTGCATAAGGTCAGTCTTGTGGATTAGCTGTTTATCTGCATTAATTGGGAATAAAGGTGTCTTGAACGGATTGAGTACGACATTAATAGGCCACAGAAATGCAGTATGTACCATGATTCTCAGATTTAATTTAAATAAGGTAAACTAAAATTAAGTATCATTTATCCCTGATTACAAACACCATTGGTATTGATTTGATGGTCTACAAATCCAGAAAAATAAATGCTTCTGGTCGTTGTCATTCTTTATTGTCCAGTCCACGGTAAGTTGCATATCTGTTCAATCCACATATCAGGTACAGTGAAGTTTTGTTTTGCCACCATAAAGATGACACAGATGTTGCTGCCAATTTAAAGAAGCCAGATAATTCCTGCTCGAGGTAGTTTGACAGTATATTTGCATTATTACCAAAACCCTGTATGATTCGCTGAAGGATTGAGGCATTTGTCCAGAGTAAGGCTGTTTTATCTAAATATGGAAAACACAGCAGAAAAATGGTTCACTTAGAAGCTGTGATATGTTTTTTGGAGAGTGATACCGAGTGAGCAGACCAAATGTTTTTCATGTCCACTTTATGCCCTGTTGGACTTAGGTTCCATAGAATGAACAAATCTTAAGACACAATGGCAAACTAGTTTCACAGAACATAAAACTAGTTAAATTACAGTTTCAAAATTATTTTACCAATTCTGTTACCAGTCATGAAAAAATTGGCAATTTCAGGTAAAGTTTCTGAATCACATCTCAGACAAATCCACTGATAAAACACAGCTGAAAAGGTTTTTGTTTTGATATAAAGTACTTGAATCCAATTCTCAGTGAGGAGTTTAAATCTCAGTGCTGGCATATATATTATCAGTTCACCAGCTTTCTACAACACGTTTTTCAGTTTTTTCCCCTTCCTTCAGAAAACTCACCAAATATACAGTAGATGATGGATTAAAGTGCTGAGATGGGCTTGTCATCATAAACAATCATGATGTTGATTTATGATCCTGATTATTCTCTTTATCAAGATTAATACACTAAGAAAATAATAACTATATAAATATGAAATTGGTGTTCTAAAAAAATAATAGCCTTAGCTATGTATAAAGAGGCCAAATTAAGCGTTTTGCATTTTGAAAGTTGTTTCTTGGTCCCTGTATTTGATGGTCAACAGCCAAAGTGGTTTTATTTTTATTTATTTTTCATTTTTCTAAGTGCTTGGTTGGTATAAGAGCTGTTACTTGGAGTCCAAATTTCATATAATTCCTCATGATTGATGGAGGAATCCTAAATTGAAGATGGTTGTTGGGACTCCGAACCCCTGTAACAAAGGGGTTGAGAACTTAGGTGTACGAGTCATTAACTTGGTATGATCTGATGGTCCCTCAGTACTACAAGGTAGTTCTCGGATAAAATGGCCTTCGGTGGCAAGGCAAACTTTTGCTGTTGGTGTTTATTTGTCGGCTGCCATGACTTAGAAAACACCAGCCTCTGTAAGACAAGTGGAAGCTTCAAGCAGCAGACCCTTAACATAGACATGTATGGTGTAGAACATTGTGAGGAAGTCCTGGGTGCTGAACAATGTGTCAGCTAGAGCAAATCCAAGTGTGGAGGGGATAAAACCTCTGCCGTACTCCACCATCCATGTCCCAGCGCTCCACTGGACAGAAGTGGCTTCACCTACACCATGTAGTATTGTGTCACCTGCAGGAAGAAAAAAAAAACAATACCGTCATTCAAAAACATACTTGTGAAAGTGTGATGGAAAACTATTGCAAGTAAAATATTACAGGTATTACCAGGGTAATATATTTCACTCTTAGTTGTGCCCTCTTTCCACTGTCTGAAAGTTCCCGATATGACGGTGTCAGAAATCTCAGCCCAGTACCGACCTAACAGAGGAAGACAAATATCGATATCTCTATTTGAAATCAACCTGTTCCCAGTTTGTCTGGACAATAGACTAGATGACTTGCAATCCAACTGAGCCCTCACCTGAGTGCCCTCCTGTGTCCACTGCTGTACCAAACAGCAGCAGGTACTCTGTCAGTGAGGCATGTAGAAGACACATGGAGCCCATCCAGCCTCCGGCATTCACAAACACCCACTGCAGGTCTTCATCCGGCAGGATGTGGCCAGGATACCTAGTTCAATGACAGTTTTTAAGATTTTTGTTCTCCTTCAATTTTAAACCATAAGACATAACAAACAACTCCCACCTATCTTAATCATTACCCCTATCATTAGAATTTTTACAGCGAGAAGTGTTGAAGAAAACTTACCTGTGTCTCGGAAGAATACGTTAGGATTTTATATCTCCTAAACAAAAATATTCTTTGTAAATAAAACAGTTTTTCTACTCTGTGAACAGTCAGCCTTTTCAATGACCCTCTGTGGTTCAATCAGTGAGGGTCTTCTGGACAGCTACAGTCAGAAGTCTTCCCCATTATTGTGGTTGTGTGGAAGATAACAGATCAGTAAATCTTTGCAAGTGTTCTAGGTTAAGGAGCAGATTAGAGGTCTTCACAGCACTGAAAGAACTCACTAGAACTTTACTCACTGTTGGATAGTATTTTTTTGTATTTCCATGAGCTGAAAGTTGTAATCGATACAATTTAAACGATTTAAGTTGAGCCGACCCCTGTTGCTTGGAAATGGTAAAAGAGAGGATCAGAGTTCAGTTCAGATTGTAAAAATGTGTTACTTTTTCTTTTAAAAAATACAGCTGTGAATGTTCTGAAATAGCCTGGCTGGGCCATCCAGTTGCGTGAATCACTTGCCGTTCCTTCCTTCCTACGGCAAGTGATTCACGCAACTGGATGGCCCAGCCAGGCTAGTTCTGAATCACTTTAAGGCATCCTCATGTTAAAATGGCTTTTTTTTAATAAACAGCTTTTAAGAAGTTATTTGCAAAAATAATTAAAAACAATTATTGTACCAGTTGAATACCGTATAATAAGAAATACACATGATTGTGAAGAAGTGACTGTTATTTAGGGAGAGAGAAGGTGAGGGAGGGCTGGGGTGGAGAGTAGGGGGTAGTTGGGATATGGCTCAACTTACCCCGCTCCTATGGTCAGCTTACCCCATATACAGGGTAAGTTGACCATAGGAGACCACTATTTTGGCATGCTATATTATCAAGACAGTTATGTTTACACTCATTCTGTTGGTTTGCAGGGATGCACAACATCTTGAAATATATACAGATACACTAGTTAGAGACAAAACTATGACTGACTTGATGTAGTGATCTGAAAATATGAAAATCTTACCCCACTCTCCCCTAAGTGGTTTTGATTCACTTTTTGAATTAAATTATAAGGGGGAAATGTACTTTTTCGGGACATTTTATACTGAGACCTGCACATGTATGTTCCTAATGAATAGTCAGTTCACTCTTACCTTTTCCTGAGCTCCACCACCACTTTGGAAAAAGCTTGCTCATGGTCCTGTCCTGAGGATGATAGCAGTATTAGTGGAAGGAGAGGCGGAGTCAGCTTGATTGACTTTAAGGATCATTTTAGGGCGCTGCACAGTACTCTTGACCTGACTGAGACACAAAACCAATTCATAACCAAACTCACCCGCGTACTGTTTGGCCAATTTGGCGACGTCTTCTTTGTTGAAAATATACTGCTTAGTAGCCATCCAGTGCCGCAGCAGCAGAACAACCAAGACGCTGGTTGCGGTGAACAGGGACAGTTTTGTAATCGTCCTGATCACGGACATAGTGGAGATGAAACTGCGGACACGCGGAGGAACAGCAGCTGATTTGGTTACATGCGTGGCTGCCGCTCAGCTCACCACACGCCATGGACAGCCGAGTCAATCTGACAGGTTTGTGCTGCCCGTTCACGTGGTCTCAGTAGGCCGCTACTCAGCCAATCAGGAGACATGTTCGGTCGGCTTTTTTTTTTAAGAAACTTTATTTACATCTACAATTCATTACAATATAAGACATGCTTCTCTAAGCAGTACGTGGAAATACTGCCTGCAAGCTGTCCATATAGGGCACTACTGCGACCTTAATGAGTGAGGAAAAAAGGTTGGAACCATAGACTGTATATAATCTATGGTTCTTCACTTGTTCAGATAATGAAATAAACCAGTATGTGAGGTATGTTGTGTGGGAACATAGACTGTATATACAATATATACTATATCTTATATACAGTCTATGTATGGGGAAAAAAAGATATACTTATATTTTTATCTATATATTTGTGTACTCAGTTAGCTAACACCCTTGTTGAGTAAAATGTGTGATGCCCTATAGGGTCATGCTGCTGTGGAAGGTGTGTCTGGTTGTGTCTGCACCCTAATCAGAGCAACTATGCACACCTGGGCCCTGGGTGCTGGGAGTGTTTAAGCTCCTACAGTTACCTGCAATTCTCTCTTTAGTTTCTCCTGACTGCCTGTACAGGTACTTGGCTTGACTTGGTTTGGTTTGGGCTTTGTCTGGTCTGGTTTAACTTGGTTTGGTTTGGTTTGGCTTTTAGGTGTAGTTGTTTGCTTTGTGCAACACCCTCACACACATACGCCACCACTCATGCACACCCTTACACACTACTGATTTCCCTGATTTACACACCTCATATCTTAAATATTCTAATTTGGTTCAATTTGTATTAATAAAGAGTTGTTTGGGAGTTAATACACAGTGTGTGTCTTCCTCCTTCTTTTTATTGTGACCACCTGAGCCAGGTCATGACAAACGTTTCATGTCTGCCACCTGTTTTCAACAAGAGTTTAAAGCGCCTACCTTTGTAAGTATTTAGCCTATGTCAACATGCATGCATGCATTTTGTACAAGAAATTGGCCTATGTATATGCTGCAGGTTGGGTTGTAAGGGTCAGGAACAGGTTTTGGCTAAGCTGAAAAACAATGCTGAGGTTATTGTGTTGCTCTGAAGGTAAATTATATATTGTTTTTACTATTGCCTTTCACTGTATGCACTTTGAGATCTGTTTTCTCAGCTGTAAAGCACAATATAAATAAATTTATTATTATTGTTATTGTATCATTCCTGGAATCAAGCTTCTTAAAGTGTGTTTTATTGTAGATACTTATTCTGTATTTTAAAACTCCCTGCTAACAAAATACACAAAATTACTGCCAGCAGTTATCGCTTTTTATTGACTTATTGTCTAAATATTGAGATCATATTGGCTCAGACTGATACAATAAAAAGCTTAATAACTTAAACGTCCCAGCAACCAGATCACCATTCAGACAGCAAAAGGATGTCTGTTGTGATTTCTGTAGATTGGATTGTTGAAGGCTGTAATTTAATTAGATTAATTAAATACCCTGTCATCCCTCAGCAGTCTGGGACCATTTCTGCTCTCTCTACTTCTGCACAGTGAAGTGATGCTGCAACAGGATTTAAAGGTCGTAGTATTTCTGCATTTTGTTGTTTGATATTCAATGTTCTGTTACATTATTTATTTAATAGCCTATTTGTATTTCAGTTTTATTATGTTCCTGTTACTGCTTACTGCTGAGGTTAGGGATTCCTCTGTTTGTCCAGTAGGTGGCGGTAATGCATCGTCAGGGTGGTAGAACAAGCAGAAGAAGAAGAACAACATCCACAATATTTGGTTTAGTGACTTGTCTTCAGAGATACGCTACAAGTCATACAGCCGAGCATGAGCGACAAAAAAGAAGTCAGCTTTGATCCTAAAGGTATGGTGACTCGTACATTTACACTGTTACTCTCAAATTTATCTGTTTATCAGTTTTTTACCTATTTTGACCCTTGCTCTGTTTGTCAGAACAGGAGAGGCAGAGTTTATGATCTGTACTGCAATTTTTTTTACACATCTTGTTCCTGTTTATGTTTCAGGCCAACTATTAAATGAAAGTTTTTATACATTACATTCGCCTAAAGTATGATACCATGTCAGTCTGAGCTAAAAGCACCGTAGCCAAGGTAGTAGGGGAGAGTGGGGTAAGTTGAGCCACCCCCTGTTGCTTGGAAATGGTAAAAGAAATTGATCATGTGACCAAATATTTAGGAGCTGGGCATCAATTCATGAAGTCTGTGAAGGTTAGAAGTACATGAGTTAGACATTTATTTCCAAAAAAAAAATCATTTTTCACTCTTGAAAGTGAATTTAGTCATAAGTTTTATTAGAATTGTGTTCAGACCAAAAAAGATCATTTTAAATTTGTTTTATACATCAATTGTGGTATCTATGAGCTACAACATGAGGTCAAAAACCTAAAATAAAAGTCCACAATTTTAGCTTAGAGGACTAATAAAGTCATCATAGTAGTTCTGGGGTAACTGAGAAAGTAAAGAAGTCTGATGAGAGGATCAGAGTTTCAGTTCAGATTGTTTAAATGTTTTACTTTTTCTTTTCAAAAATACAGCTGTGAATGTTCTGAATCACTTAAAGGCATTCACATGTTAAAATGGCTTCTTAAAAAACAGCTTTTTAGCAGTTATATGCAATAATAATAATAAAAAGAACTATTGTACCATTGACAGTTCGGGAGGGCTCAACTTACCCCGCTCCCATGGTCAACTTACCCCATACACAGGATAAGTTGAACCAAATGCTGATATATTTGTTTTGTCATCGGAGAATCTCCGCTCACTTTAAACAATTGTATAAACTTTTTTTCTAAACTTCTTTAGAGCACCAGCATCTGCGCTACAACCCCCTGCGAGATTCCTGGGTCCTTGTGTCAGCTCACCGCATGAAGAGACCCTGGGCAGGCCAGATAGAAAAACCCCCCGAAGAACACATACCCAGATATGACCCCAACAACCCCCTCTGTCCAGGGAACCCAAGAGCAAGTGGAAAGGTGAGAGCAGATTGATACATTTCCTTATGTTGCACGCATACTGATTCTCATCACACAGCAAATGAAGGCTGACATGATCATAGTCCAATAACAGTGTTCAGTTCTTTGCTGGTTATTCTGGTCACTCTTAGTCCCATTCACTACTTTCTTGCTCCACACCTACTAATCCAAGCTCATCATTCTCAGCTCACTTGGTATAATGACAGAAGTAATTCTTGTGATCTGGATGTAGATCCCTAGGGTTTGTTTTATTTAGTGAGTCTTAAGTGACCTCCAAGAACCTTCAAATAGATGTAAAGCACACTGTACCTCTTGGATCACTTACAAGGAGAAATAGTCCAGAATTTAACTTAATTTGCAGTTTAATATTTTTCGCAATTTCACAGGGACAAGGAGAGTATACGCCAAGTCTGACTGAAGCTATTAAATGCAAAAATATATAGATCTGATACTTTAACGAACAGCTCAGATCCAGATACTGAATTGAGAGGAGTGAGAAGGAGGCACATCCTGCAGATCAGATCCTGAAAGTTTTGTGTGTGAGCAAATTCCTTGGTCAGCGCTCTGTCAGCTTCCTGTCATAGCTCTTTTAATTCATGCTTCCCCTCAAAGACTTGCAGATCTCTCCGAAACTGACCAAGGAATCCCCTCCAATTCATTTTCACTTAAAACTTTTACATTCAATCATACTACTTAACCTTTTGGGACTGTGTGGCGTAGACAAACTCGGTCCACACAAGAAGCGAGCTTGCCTGATTGTTTAGCCTTGAAACTAAGAGGATTATCATAAAACTCACAGGGGAAGTGGCTGGAAATGTAGTTCCTTTTCCAGATCTCTCAGCTGACCTGTTGAAAAAGTGGGCGGTGGCATTAAAACACAACTATGTGGCAATATGCCATCTTGGTAATAATTTTTGTCCAGATGCATCATTTAGAAATGTTTCTTTCCCATGTCAAACAGCCCGTGCCAAAATCATCATTATGCATAACCGTATCGCTCCTTTTAATTAGCACTGAACATGTTGATACATCTCTGGCATGAACCAAACATTATATTCAAGTTATAAATGGCATTTGTGTCGTTTCCTCCTGTTTCTTATGTCTGTGTGTCCATTTGTTTTCCTCCAGGTAAATGCGGACTATGACAGCACTTTTATTTTTGAAAATGACTTTCCAGCTCTTCAGCCAGATGCACCAGATCCCGGTGAGTCCTTGTGCACTGAAAGTATTGACTATAAGAGTCATTTTACTACATAACGGGAAAAGTAAGACCAGTGGATGTGCGTTTGATATCTTTTTGTTTTTTATATCATGATTTTATTAAGTTGTTTCTGTTTTAGTGAAATCAACTTTTGTATTTACAACTTTGGGCATAATTTACTTTTAAAAGGATTCTACTGTTAAGGATTTGTTCAAGTCGTACAGGTGCAAAGAGATTGTTTTACTCTCCCTGAATTAATAAAGAGAAATGAAGTGTTGAAACACAACATTTTTTCATTCTTATGCAGTTCACTTGTTTGTTTGTTTTCCCTTCAGATTCTGATCAAGATCCGTTGTTCCAGTGCAAAGCAGCCAGGGGTGTCTGGTAAGAACAGAGCTTCATGTCACACCTCACCGGAGTGATACGTTTTTGGTTTTGCATTTATGAAATTAGAGCAAGTATTTAACTATTAGAAGACCTGCAGGTAATGAGCAGACGGTTGAAATGCATTATTTCTAAGGAGACCTCAGTGATGTAATCGGTGTATACAAAGTGCCATGTACATTTTCAATTTGCTATTAAAGATTTCAGCAGCAATGTAAGAATGTTAAATAGGTTCCAACCCATAAAATAAGCCCTGAAGACTAAACAGTAGATCCTGTTTATCTATGTCAATAAGGTGCATTACCAGTCCTACTTTCAGACATCTCCTTCTCCTGTCTCTGTTTTATTTACCTTCTTTCAGTAAGGTCATGTGTTTCCATCCATGGTCCGACATTACTCTCCCTCTCATGCAAAATCACGAGGTTGTCAAGGTGATCGACAAGTGGGCAGGACTTGTTGAGGAACTGGGCACCTCGTACCCATGGGTTCAGGTATTTGTTGCATGCACACATTTACCCTTTTTCACAGTCACTCATTGTTGAAATACCAAAGCTTTCAAAAATGGCAGGTGTACTAATTTCAGTATTTCGTGTTTGTTTGTTTTTTTTGTCTATTTTTAGATCTTCGAGAATAAAGGAGCTATGATGGGTTGTTCGAATCCACATCCTCATTGTCAGGTATAATACTCACACAAAAGGAGTTAATGCCTCCATCAAAACAGATGACTTCCTGTTTGGTTTAGGGTGTATCTAAATGTTGGACTTAACTCATGACAGGTTGAGACAAAGCCCAGTTTAAATTAACGCCATGGTGATGAGTAATGAGGACAGTGTGTGACCTCAGGACAACAGTGATCAAACACTGTAAAGTAGACTGATCTGAGGGGTCTTATTCCTTATGTGAGCTCAGAAACAAAACCTTGAATCAATAATTCCAAATTAATTCTAAAAACTAATTTCAGCATGAACAGGGGGAAAGAAAGCTTGTGTAACGTGATGAAATGTGCGTTATCAGACATCATCAGAGTAATGATAGTATACCAGTCAGTGTGTAAGAGACGTATCAGTCCTCAACCTGTAATCGAAGATGAAGTAAACTAACCCCATAAAATCAGGGTGTATTTGTTATTTGTAAATGGTGAATGAAATGAAACAATAACCCGCTGTGAATGAGTCAAATCATTTCTGTGTGATGTGTTAGTTGTTAATTATTATTGCGGTGTTGTTGTGTATTCCATTAATGGGGACCTACTGCAGGACAGTGGGACTTACACACCTGTGGGCTGCAGGTGCTTATTACATTGAAAATCTCTGCCTCAATAATAATAATAATGATTAACAAAGATTTTTAATCATAGGCCCAGTTTTATTTTCTAATGGCGTCATAAGAAAGTTCCACTGTCATCATGTCTTTGGGCTTTAATATTAATCTTAATATGTGCTCACACACACAAACACATACAGTCCTTTTTGCGTATACTTGTAATGCTTGCATAGCAGTGTGATGACTTGGTCCAACCATCTGTGATAAACATAAATATTATAGAAGGATAAATATTGTGCTGTGAAATGGCAATATGTAAAGGGTCGTATACCTAAAGAGGCCATTTGGCAGTGATTTAAAAAGTGGGCAGGTTACTTGTTGTCATCATCCTCACTCTGCTTCTTCATGCTGTCTAGTAGGTTTGGGCGAGTAACTTCCTGCCAAATGAGCCAGCACTGTCGGACCGCTGTCAGAGAGCTTACCATCAGAAACATGGAAAGCCACTTTTGTTGCAGTACGCAATACAGGAGGCTGAGAAAAAGGTACATCTTACACACATGACACATATTAAAATGTTGTTTTTTTTTATTTTTTATCAACATTTTTCCTAATAATGCATGTGAGGTTTAATTTTTTCTGCACTAAAAAGGCATAAACTATGTCTGAAAGAAATATGAAACCTGTGTTAAGTATGCGTTGGCTGTGCCTTCTTTGGGAGTTAATCTTTTTTTTTCACTATTTTAATTTTTAAGCAGACATTTCTGAGCCCAAAATGTGTTGTTCACCTCGTGTGTGAATTTGTTTAATCTCCAGGAGCGGTTGGTGGTGGAGAATTCTGATTGGCTGGCTGTGGTACCATATTGGGCAACATGGCCCTACCAGACATTGTTATTACCACGGCGGCATGTCCTGAGAATAAATGACCTGACACAAAAGGAGAGAGAAAGTGAGCAAGACTTATTTAAGGCAAATTAGTGAGTCTGAGTGTAAAATGTATGATAAACTGTTTTTTTATGATTAAAATTTTACTGAAATTTTAAAATCACAGCAAACATTCAACAAATATTACAACACACCCCATTAAGAATAATGAGCTGTGTGGAGTACAAATTAACCACACACACAAAATATGTAAATATAAGAATGAAAATTTGTTTATCAAGGTAGAGTTTTTAAAGTTTTTTAAGTTTGTGTAACTTTTTACTAAATAAGAAAAATAGAAGGAAAACAGAGAGAGGATTTGCCAGAGATGTGTACATCAGTTAGCTGGCTGTTAATAAGAAGTTACCAGGCATAATCAAAGTTCATGATACAAAAATTGAATACAAAAATAAACTAATGCGTGCAGATTGTATAACATGTATAAAGTAACCTGAAACCTTTTGCCAAGCTGCAGTAACCTGTTATCAATCCACTGTACTTTAATGCTGGAGGGGGAGAGGAGGGCAAGTTTGTGCATGACAGCAGTATGGACCCAGTCTGGAGATAAAGGATCTACTCACAGGTTCAGGATTTAGAACAGTTGCTCAGGCCCATATGAACCTTTGTATTTCGATAAGAATCTTAAATCATTTGTTGCAGAGGCCTTTGTAAAAACATTTATATAAATCATGAAATATTAGAAAATATTCACCCTTACAAAGACAGAAAGAGAAAAAAGAACAAATCCATTATCCTGTAATTATTCCCTCTTCTCATGTAATTGTACAATAAGGACATAGCAAACTCTTTCTTTCTTTCTTTGTCTCTTTCTGTCTTAGGTCTGGCTGACATTATGAAGAGACTGCTGACCAAGTATGATAATCTGTTTGAGATGTCTTTCCCCTACTCCATGGGCTGGCATGGTAAGTTTACTCCTTTTTTTTCCTATGTCACCAGTGGGACAGCATTTATAAAATAGCTTAAAGTATTACAGTGGTAAGACACAGTCCACCATACCTTGCAAAGTAATTAGAAACTGAATTTAGAAAATGTATTTAATACATTAATGTATTTAATTTAGAAAACCTCTGTTAAATCCACGCTCACCGGCTGAATGGATGGGTGGGACTGGGTCTCTGTGGAAAGTCTAACTGCCTCTGACCTTTGCTCAGGAGCCCCTACAGGCACATATTTAACAGAGGACAATGCTCACTGGCAGCTGCACGCTCACTACTACCCTCCTCTGCTGCGCTCAGCAACAGTGAAGAAGTTTATGGTGGGTTATGAGATGCTTGCCCAGGAGCAAAGGGACCTCACTCCTGAACAGGTGAGTAACACAACTTCACTATTGTACAAATCGATGTTTGGTATTGCGACAGTATCTGTGATTATTTTACTATTAAATGACAAAATGCAAAACTCGAAGCATACAGATTTTTGTTCAGTTTAAATGTTTTGTAATGGAAGTTTGGTACTATGAAAACATTGAATTCAAATAAATGGATTGCTGTATTGGTATGCTCGGTTTATTGCCTCTGAAGGGAGTGTGTGAGCTAATTCCACATTTCGAAAGAGACTTCACTCTCGTCAGCTACATTCCCTCTGACCTCAGGAGGATTCATACATTTTAACCTTGTTCTTGTACTTTTAGGCTGCCGAGAAGCTGAGGAACCTCCCAGAACAACACTATAAAACTAGAGGGAATCAGGAGAAGGGAGGAAATGAGAGAGCAGATGGAGATCAGTAGAGTGATGTCTGGTGAGGAAATCTATTGCCTCATTGAAACTACAGCAAAGATCTTGAAAATATAAAGAGTTTAGAAGGTATACTGTTAAAGTACCTTGCCAACACTTGAATTTGACATTTTTTTTTTTTTTAGATTGTCACTTTGAATAAATCACTTTGTGCCTTGTACTACACTGTTCCTAGATTTACCTGTCATACCTCTGAACATGTACAACCAAAGCTAGCTCTGATATTACTGCAGTTGACTGGCTGGCCAACTCACATGAACCCCGTAGAGAAACTGTGGGACGGTTGTCAAGAGGAAGATGAGAAACACCCAACCCAAAATTGCAGACCAGTTGGAGACCACTGTCAAATTAATCAGGGCTTCAAAAGCACCTTAACAGAGCAAGAGGCAAGTTCATTGATTCAGTTATTTGTCATGAAGAAGCTTCAACCAAGTACTGACAGTACAAATGAACTTATTCTGCAGAAGATGGACCTTTTTATCATTTTAAATATATTTTTCTAATTAAACTCGGAAAACATTCTTATAACTTGAGTTGAGGTTTCTGATTTTCATGGGGTATAAGCAATAATCATGTGAAAACAAAGAGAGGTGTGAAAATTTGTAATTTACATCCAATGTAAACAAATGTTTAAAATTTTTTGTGAATTAAAATTGTGAATACAGAACTTTTCAGTGATATTCTAATTGTCATGTGTCACACAAACACTGCACTGTCTGTGCAGCAGTCATTCCGGTAACACTTTCTTTTACAGCACACTTATTAACTTATTACCAGTGACATTCAATCACTCATTTTTATCAATGTAGACTTTTTCTTTTTTTGCTGACCACGCTTTGCTTTACTCTTTATTTCCATCCTGTTTTGATCGCTCGACTTTTAGAGTCATCTTATAAATGGACTGTCAATTGTAAAACAATTAATTGTAAATATAGAGTAGCTCTTTATATTTGTTTTCTGATAGGTCAGTTTAGGGCTCAGAAGACAACAAAATCATCTATAATTTACTGTAATTGTTATCAGGTATATGAACTTATTTTAACATAAGACTTTCAAGTTTCTAAAACAAAAAAAAAATCACATTTCAGTCTTCCAAGTTTTAATCTTTATTTCTATTTATTTATTTCAGGTTGGCCTCTAGTGACTGCAACAGCAAGAATATTCATTTCAAACATATATCTTCAAAAAAAACCTCCAGTATATTTGTGGAAACAGCACTTAAAGAAATTCGACTGTCACCTGGCCTGCTAAAAATCTATCACAACATCAGTTAGACTGCTACCATCTAGTGGTCAAACAGCTCTCTACAGTTAGCAGCCTAATAACAGGATCAGAACATGGCAAAAGTTATGAAATTCATGATGAATTTGAAAAATTGCTAATAATTTAGTTCATTAATTGAAGTGTCCTAAATGTAATCAACATAGCCTGCAATATGAACATGTACTGTGTGTAGTATTCAGCTTGTAGAGAAATACAAGAAATCCATAAGTGGATATGTTGTTGTTGTTCATTTAAGATATTTCTCAGTACAGCCATTCACTTTTCTTTGCATTGGTCAGTGGGCGTGATAATCATAATCTCTCATAAGGCTGGCAAACTCACTGTTTTTTTTTTTTTCTTGTTTTTTTTTTAATGCCTAAAATTGCTGTGAGGGGGATTGTGTCAAATAAGAGGACTGACAGCACTGTGTGGAATCAGTGCTTTTACAGCAGTTACTGTAAAAGAAGGTGAATTTTTTTTTTTTTTTTACTCAGGGTTTGGTTTCTGTCCGGAAACATAACTTTTACATGTAGAGAAAAAGAGGTTCACAAGTCCACACAAACTAAAAGTTCCTAAACAGCAGCTTTAAACTCACTTATGAGGCCTAACAGTGGGTAATTTTCACTGCCATTGAAACATGAAAAAGATAGTGTTAGTCACGTTGATTGGTAACACACTACAGAGACGGCCTTTTTGACATTTGCTCCCTCTATCTCCAACATAAACAAAGAAGCACCTGTAAGGTGGTAGTGTAATTGTCAAGCAGCATAGGCTCACAGGTGCGCATATATCAGCTGAGACCACTTATGTAGATTCAGCACATGTTTAATTAGGCCTTACTCTTGCTGACTCAGCGGTGGGGTGGGCAGCCTGGGAAAAATAAAGCTATAGTGAGCTAGATTTGAAAAGTCTCCAACGGACTAACAATTGAGATTTCAGTTTTTAGTTTTTTCAGCTCCACTAGAACTCTTTTTTTATTCTGCCGGTGAGCTAAAACTACTTAATTCCAGTTTCGTGTTACCTGTTGGGAGAAGGCACAGAGGAAGCAAAGGCACCACACTGACATAGATATTTTATCAGTTTATTAATCATGTTTTTCTTCTGTTAATCATAGTAAAATAGGGGTAGTATTTCATTCCTGAGTGTCCCTCTACTTTGGAAAGAAACCATCACAAACACTCTGAATTAAAAGTGTTTTCAAAAAGCTTCTAGCTTGTTTGTATTTTATTTAAATCCTCGTTATTTGGCTCCTTCTTTCACTCAGTAAAACACCCTGATAACTTTTCCAGATTACTCTTTAGTAAAACAAAAAAGTCTCTGGATTCTCTTCACAGTATAGTTATGTATTTTTTTTTTAAACTCTCTGAGACATTTTATGGACATGTGTTGTTTCACATCTCTGAACAGTACAAATCCAGTTTGAGATGCAGAATGATCATTTGTTGGCAATCCACTGGTTAAACTTTACATGAGACCAGACAAACACTTTTCCCTGCTTCTAGATAAAGTAGGCTTGTTTGACTTCGTGGCACCTATTGATTTAATAACCCTCAGACTTGGTTTCTCTAATGTTTGTTGTCCAAGAAACAAAACCGACTACACCACAGCTGCAACCAAACAAGTCTGCCACTTCAACAAGTCTTCACGTTGGTCAAAGTAAGAAGAAAGAAAAGTTATTCTGCTTCTGGCAATATCCAGTGTCTTAATGGAGTCCTGCTTGTTATTTTAGGACACCTCTGGGTGTATGACTGCATTCAAACTATTACAAGGACCACTGCTAATGGTAAACCTTTCTTTTACGGTACACTTATTACTAGGTAATTAACAGGTAATTACCTAGTAACAACATGAAATTATCTGGTATCATCAATCATAGAAAATAAGAACCCCAAATAGCTTTTGAAAATGGAGCTGCACAGAAAAAAAGAAAAACTAGACAGTATTGACTTGGTAGTTATCATGTAATAACCAGATAATTGTTGTTACTAGGTAATTACCTGTTAATTACCTGGTAATAAGTGTACCATAAAAGAAAGGGTTACCCTGCTAACATTAGGGGATCTATTAACAGAGTCAGTACAAGTAAATAAAATTTAACATTTTCAGTGAATTCACTATTTTATCCCTTAAATATAACAGATATCAGCCACCACACCTTGATTATAGTGAAAAGTGCACTAGTTGTAAATTAATGAAATGCCCAAAATACTAGAAACACCTTTCACAAAAACTAAAAATATAGAGCTTTGTAAAAGTAGACTGAAATGGGTTCCTTTAGATTGCAGAGGTAGTGGATTTCATTGCTGAACACTGACAAGGAAGGGGCTTGACTGATTTCCTTCAAGTATTTCATAAACTAATTTGTGAAGAATTCACTTTTTTCAGGATTTTTTGGCAATTTTTTAGATTTCTGCTCCTGAAGTGACCAGTCGAACTGGTTAAACCAAAATCATACAGCAACCCTCACTTAGAGAAATAAAAAAACAAACACACCTGCACTTCAAACTCTGTACTGTTCCTCATAGTCTTAAAAAAAAAAGTAATACATGAGGAAACCAAGAAACAGCAGAACCAGGATCCAGTTGACTGAGTGGACGTAGACCATGACCGGGCCGATGTCGAAGAGCCAGCCACGCATGTCTGTGAGGTCCAAAGCGCCTAGAGTGAAACCTCCATGAACAAAGTGCCAGCGTCTCCCTGCCATGGCTGCGTACCTCCGATCCTCTGCAGTGACACAGATAAACACACAAACTGTACTCCAAGGTAGCTTTCAGAGTAATTCCTGAGAAGCAATACAACATTGGGCTGATGGATTATAGCAAAAATCATAATCATGATTATTTTCATTGAGACTGAGATTAAGATTATTTAACCCCATCATTTACAAGTAATTTCATCTCTACATTTATGAAATTTAAAAACTCTTTTAAGCGTCAATTTTCTGAACCTTTTTGAAAAAAATGTATAATAATTATCACTAAAAAAAAACACAGGGACCATACATCAGTTCTTCACTTTATTCTAAGGGCCTTAACTTCATTTTGATGACACTGCTCACTTCTCTACACCTGCAGCTTCATGATTGCTGATACCACTGTGACACATGTTGAAAAAAATACAGGTAATAATGGACTGTAGTCACATCAAAAATGATCTAAACTAGTTAAAATGAAAGCTGTTTGAGAGAAGGGGCAGGTCCAACGGTCAAACTATGGAAATTTAAGGCTGGCTATGTCGGTTGCACACCAGTTCTGAAGAGACCATCTTAACACACCTGATTCAAATGATTACCTCGTTATTAAGCCATTACAGAGCTTGATAACGAGCTGATCATTTGAATCAGGTGTGTTGAAGCAGGGAAACATCCAAAACATGCAGGACAGTGGGCCTCGAGGACTGGACTTGAGAACCACTGATCTAGAGAAATGTTTTATACTCAGTTTTGACATTCAGGTAACACCTAAAAAGTATGGCTGATCAAAAATAAAAAGTTTACAGTAATTTACGACAGACGCTTTCAATTGGCTGTAACTTCAAATGAAAAACAGTGAACGAATAAACAGCTAGAATAAAATAATCTGTCTCTCCCGTTAGCCGATTGGTCCATTAGTCATGATAATATCCCACATTAAAAAGAGTTACACTGAAAAGTTTAGTGATTTCTTCTTTCCTTCCTTGCCATAGTGTTTTAAACATTTGCACCATTATTCCTATCATGTTAGGTGAGTTCACTTTGCAATAGTGTTTATCAAAGACTTTTCTACTGCTGTTTAACAACGTTACAAGCTTTTTGTCGGAGCAAACAGTCAGCTGCTGCCAAGATAACGTTTCATTTTGCAGTTAAATTTATGGGAGGAAGACAGTAAAAAAAGATTCTGTTTTCTCGGGACCTTCAATGATTCTAGGCCATGAGATACGGGTTAGAATGAGGTCAGTCTCATTTTTCACATCTGTATCTCACCTCATGGTAACAACCCAGAATAATCCTGGAACTACTCTGTCTCAAAATTTCACAGTGTTTTAAAAAATACCGTTTCTTACCCCAAAAGGTCCTGAAGCGTTTGCGACAGCTGGGCAGCGGCCACTTTGCACATGGAGCGTTATGGAAACTCTGCTTACGGCTGCAGTAAACTTTAGGGAAGAAGGTTTTCGCTGCCTGGTTAAGCTCTGAAAAACAAGGACGTTTAAAGATTAAAGCATCCATGAGGAGCTTTCAGAAGGTACTATATGTGACCCTCAAACGAGCTCAATCTCACCTTTACTGAAGGTGGTTTGAGAGATGAGTGTGCGGCAGAGTGGGCAGGGTGTGTTCGCTGGTCGGTTCTTGGCAATGGTGCGGAGACACGGCTCACAGAAGACGTGACAGCAGGGCTGACAGCAGTACGGGCTGAAGTAAACGTCGAGACACACAGCGCAGGTGAGGCCTTCTTTGTCCTCCTCCTCGCTGTCCAACAGTGGAGCGCTCACTTTCTCAGCCTAGAAACACACACATAGATTCTGAAGCATGAATCTATACAGCTTCATCTTCTCTTCTTCCAAGTCTCATTTTAAAGACATATACAACCTTTGATGACATTAGTAATCCAACCCTGCACACGTATCGAATCGTATGGAAGTGTCTCACCTGCTCCAGCTCCAGCTGACTGTTCAGCCATCGCTCTCTCCTCCTCTGCTTCCTCTGCAGACTCTTAAGGCGGTTTTTCTCCCTTTTGTTCAGTCTGTTGGAACCCAGGGAGGTTGGAAAGGCTTGAGGCTGAGAGGGCGACCAGAAATCTACATTTTTTCTTGCCATCAAAGTCCATGAAAAACAAAGTAATGCTATCTAAGGCTGCACGATATTGGAAAAAATTAATATTGCGATTTTTTTCAACCCTGCGATATATACTGCGATATTAAAATATAGAGGAATTTTCACCAGATGACCTGAATAGCACTTAATCTTATGCTGCACTGCTGAAATCTTGAGGACAGTTAACCTGCTCTGATCTTGCCTCTTTTTGTGAATGTTAATAGAACGGCTTCTGTCTCGGGGATATTTTTAGCTTTTATTGTGGAAACAGATGAACACAGAACACGTGTTTTGGTCGACATTATCCATCTTGTAACCGAAATAATTCCAGATAACTGACTTTCCTTTTCTTTTTGGCAACAAGTCCTTATCTTCTGTGGTTTTCTCTGCTTGTTGCTTAGTTTGCGATCGTTGTTGTTGTTGCTACCGGGGTTGTGCCGAGAAACGCATGTCCTCCGAGAATTGCATGCACCTCACAAAACGCGCACTGCTTATAGTAGAGTGGTCCACGGAAATGTACAATTGAAAACCCATACAGTTCTTATTTGTTGTGCTAAACAGTGATGAAGAATGTTCCGAAAGTAATTCTCAGCTGACGCGTCTCACTCCATGTGCAGGACATGTGCAGGGGTGGGTTTCCTCCTATCTGATTTTGATTGACAGCTGGCAGGATAGTCTGATTGGCACCTGAGACCTGAGTCTGATTGGCAACTGAGTAAAGAACTAAGGTGATTGGTGGATCGCTGCAAAGCACATGCAGAGTCACATGCAGTGTATCTCAGTCAGTTACTCTTGAAATTAACAGAGTTCATTCACCTCCGACATCGCAGGCTCTGCGATGTGACTATCGCACACAGGTACATCGCGATGACGATATTCAAACGATATATCGTGCAGGCCTAATGCTATCCCACTGAGAAATTTTTGGTCTAAAAGAGTTTCATAAAACAAGCATTTTTGCAGTTTTGATATTTTTACTCACTATCTCAACTCTAATGTAATTGGAGTTACTCTACAAAAGTAAGAGATAAATAATAGAACAGTGCTATTATGTGTAAAACATTTACAAGTAACTGTCAGTAAGTGTAACTGACCAGCTCTTCTTGGTCCTGTCCTGCCACACTGCCAGAGATGGATCTCCCTCTGAGGAACAGGGCTGAGTCGGAGACCTCTTCGCGGATGCCTGTGGTCTCAGGTGAAGACTCGGCATCCTCCGCAGTTTGCAGCAGCTGCTGGTCCAGGGGTGAGTCAGGTGACCATATCCTTCCCGAGACGAATGAATGGCAGGTGACGGTGTTGACTGGGGCTTCACCGTCAGAGTCAAACTGCTGACTGACGGGATACAGAGCAGGCGACCGAGTTGACTCCACCGTCTCTGCACTCATCATCTCCAAAGCGGACTTGTGCAAAGGGCCAGCGGGGCAAAAGCACGACGACCTAACGGCAACATCCTCCTCCAAACTGCATCGTCTCCTGTGAGAGATGCAGTTAAGAGGACTGAAAGAAAAGGACTGGTTGTTGTCACTGCCTGGTGGGGGGTGAGAGACCACAGCAGGGCTGCTGGAAGAAACCCCAGAAACGCACCTCTGATGTAAACTATCCAGCGCGGTCCTGCTGAATTCAGGCCTCTGCTCCCGACTTTGAAAGCCGTCTGTCAGCAGATCAGCCCTCTGTGCTCTGTCAGGCCTCATCCCTCTGGGCTGGACAATGAGAACACGGCTTCTGTTGTCACGATCCACGCGGCTTTTGTTCAGGTGGACGCTGGCATCCAGACCACAAGGACAGTCGACACAGTTAATGAAGTTGAAGCCGCCTAAACGAGCTGAGCAATACTGGCAGTTGAGTTTCCCTACAGTCCACTGGGCCTAAAGAAAGAGGATATCACGAGTTCTTTCAGAATACTTAATGTTGAATCTATCGCCTTTATTTCTGTGATGAAAAATGAAGCTACAACTATCACGTTTTGGATTTTCTTGAGTTAATCTACTCATTTCTTTTTGAATTCGAAATATTGCTTATCATATGTCCATGGTGATGCCTTCAAATTGCTTCACTCAGCTGTTAAAAGGTGGAAGGTTGAAAAATCATCGAAACGGCACACATCCCTGAGGTGACACACTTACCTGGTTGACCGAGTTGAGGATCCACTCTGGCAGAGTGTCGATGTTCACATGCCAAATGTTGCAAGGAGAAGATATGTGTTCATCTGTGTCTTCATCCTGCTGTGATGTACAGACGCAGAAACAGCGAGGACAGTTTAAAACAGATCAGACTGAGCAGATGTGTTTTTACGACTGCAGCAGGATTTATCTCTGAACTTTTGAACCCTGGTGACACCGAAATACCTGTGGTGATGTTGTTGACCGCACATGGCCTCTTAATTGACAACTTGTTGATATAAGTGGAACAACTACTGACTGACACTGACCCATCATATTTGTACAAAACTAAACTTTTCAAATTGAATTCATAACACAGGGAGCAGCACTGGGAGTCATAAATTATGGTGCCACACAGCATGTCTGGTAGTGTACTTTAAGCTGTTCCACATTCAGCCGAGACTCAGTGCTGTTCTGTACGAAAGAGGATTAGCGCCACATGAAGAGAAAAAGAATAATTACGGGAAGGAAATTAAAGTAAATCTTGTATAAAAATTTAGATTTTAGTTCTGATCAACATAGCTATGTCACCAGACATGCGACTAGTGGAAAATTTACGCTACCCAAAGACAGTAAAATCACTTTCAAGAACTCAGTCAAGAAACACCTTTTCACAACAGAAATTTAATATTAAGATGGCAAGTATTTTGTGTGTATGTATGTATTTATGTATGTATGTATACGTGAGTACATATATATGAATATATAGTGCTTTCAGGATATGTAGATACTTTACATGACTGCCAACTCAGGAGCTATCTGTTATTGTTTATCAATTGTTGTATTGTGTATTTGTATGTATTCTCTTTGTTTATTTTATGTATAATTATTATTATTATTGTTATTATTATCATTATTATTATTATTTTGTTTACTTTTTTACATGGGGCATTTTATACATATCAGATATTTGCATTGATTTATTGTGAATTGGTTTAAGGGAGATCCCAAATAAATCAAATCAAATCAAAGTCGAAATTTCAAGATTACAAAATGTCAAATTGTCATGAATAATGTCAAAATTTTGAGATTAAAAAAAATTAAATTTTGAGATCAAAGTTGACATGAATAATGTCGAAATTTCAACTTTTTGAAAATTCGACTTTAATCTCAAAATGGAAATTTAAAAAAATCTCCCTCCTGTAATTATTTTTTCCTCTTCTTGTAGCCCTAATCCTCTTTTGTAGATCTGTGATAGATGGGCTGACATTGCAAAAACTATTCTTTATTTTTGTGTACATTTTTAACAGCCTATGAAGTATCTTTGCACACTCCTAAAGTAGATGTGCAAGTGTTTCAAAAGAACCGCATCAGACCTGATTTTCTATTAACAAAAGAAAAGAAATAAAAAGGGTCGACTCACCGTTAACAGAGAAGTTGCCTCGATGATGCCCCTCCGACACTTCCTGCAGCGAAGCATGACTCTCGCTTTTGGATCTCAGAAAAGTTCTCACACCAGCTGTTGAAAAAAGACAACAGTTAAGACATGTAACTGAACTCTGGTAAAAGCTGTCCTTTTCTGCTTTTAGATCAGATTAGATTGAGTTCAAAAATAGAAACAGAATGTAAAGTTTGTTATAGGCTAAGCTATAAGAGATGGCTCCTTATTTATAAATGAGGTAACCTGATGCTGTTCCCTGCAGGACACTATACTGATGTAGGTATATTTAGGTCGAACTTCAGTACGGTTCAGAGGGAGGGAGTATCTCATTGCAAACAAATAAAAACCTACAGGTATAACAGCACAAAGTCCTGAGCTGTTTGGCACAGGATGTTCTACTTTTTGTTCTGCTTCTACAGCGCTATATACCCAGATAAGAGTCAAACTGTGCAAACACTGCTTAACTAAAGACAGGTTCAGTAAAACTATGTGCAAAAGTAGTTCAAGCGTGTAATCTGTGACCGATTTCATGTTGTTTTGATTAGCAGAAAGCTGGGCAAAACCTTCTGCTCGCAGCCTTTCAAAACAAACAGTGATTGTGCTGAAGTGACACCTGATAACAGATCAATGTCCTTGAATACACTGTTACATCAAATATCGGCTTGAATAAGCAAACAATCCCCTGCAGCACCAAAAACATACAACCGCCTGACTCAAAATCAAGGTTCACAGAACAAGGTGAATATTGTGTAGTTTCACCCTGAACTTCACCGCCGTATGATGATAAAATAAATCACCCCAAAGCAGCACTCTTGTACTAATCAGGTAGAGCCATGCTCATTTGGATATAGATGTGTATCTATCTAACATATTCTTACTGTCTAGGTATTGTGTTTTGATTTAAGTGTCTTATCTTTGGCCCATGTAACTCTTTTTGACTGTTTTCTCATATTTTTGTATGTTGTGTCTAGGGATGCACTGATCCGCTATTCGGATCAGATATCCGCTCCGATATTGACAAATTAATTGGATTGGATATCTGATGAATGACGCCGATCCAGTGTTCCAATCCAGTCTTTTTTTTTCTTTTGGGGTCTTTGTAGATCATCAGTGGATGCTTCAGTCGAGAAAGATTTGGGGAATTTGGAAACCATAGCAACACCTTAAACATGTCCAGGCCTACTTCTTCCATTGCCCTGTATGTCTATTGTAGGTCCTTATAGCTGTGAATAGGGACTGTGATGCACTGAGAATTCTGATGCTTTTCTGTCAGAACCTGCTTGATTTTTTTCAGCAGTTTGAACCCCAGCATCTCCTCTGTTCAGTCAGACCACATGGGCCAGCCCTCACACTTCATGCATTACTGAGAGCCTTGGCAGCCCGAACCACGTAACTGGTTCACTGGTTTTGCTTCCTTTAAGGTCGACTGATTACAGTTTTCCAGAGGTCAATGCAGATACTGATTGTGTGAAAGCAGGTCAAGCTGATTGCTGATATACGATGCCGATATCATTGCTCATGGCTGTGGGTGTACACTAATAAGTTAGTCCAAAAGCTGATAGAGAAAAGCAGTGATGTCAACAATACATAGTTTAACTGGTATGTAAGAAAACAGCCTACTTATACGTTGAGGTGCTGACATAAATAAACCTGCTGCTGCTGGCATGGTCAGGTAAAAACCAAGTGGCAAAAAGAAAATGGAAAACAGTCGCAACATTTTTTGACGCATGGTTGATGCATCATCTTTGTCTGATTATATATCTTATATATTTTTAGCAAATTAATACAATTTAGGGCGGCACAGTGGTGTAGTGGTTAGCACTGTCGCCTCACAGCAAGAAGGTCCTGGGTTCAAATCTGGCTCAGGGCGTTTCTGTGTGGAGTTTGCATGTTCTCCTGTGTCTGCGTGGGTTTACTCCGGGTACTCCAGTTTCCTCCCACATCCCAAAAACATGCTTAGGTTAGGTTAATTGGCCACTTTCAAATTGCCCGTAGGTGTGAATGTGAGCGTAGATGGTTGTTTGTCTCTATATGTCAGCCCTACGATGAACTGGCGACTGTTCCAGGGTGTCCCCTGCCTTCGCCCAAGGATGCTGGGATAGGCTCCAGCCCCGCCCCCCCTTGGCCCAGGGAATGGGAGTAAGCGGTAGAAAATGGATGCATAATACAACTTTAAAATGACAAAATTCTATCTTCAAGGTTTTTTGCAACCCCAGGGGTCTCAACCTGCACTCAGACCCCCACTAATCTAGCCATCAGGGTTGGATCCACTGTATGTTAAAGTTGCTCATCAGGCCCCTAACCCTGTCTGCATGCCTTGCTCCCAACTGCAGGAACAACATGTTCATTTGCTGTCAATCAATAGCTAATCAATGACATTCCTCCACCTTAGAGTGACCGTGGCTGATCGGTTTGAGAACTTTTTACTCTGCAGGTCGTGGTTCTCACCACAAGACTTGGTGAAACTGCTAAAAACATTTGCTTCCATTCAGTCAACACCAGACTTTAAATGAGGGAGGTAGATGATGTGAGTTAAAGAGGCCTGAGGTCGGGGTTATGGACTGGAGGCCAGTCCAGTATTTCCACACCACAGGATGAAGCACATACTGCTAACTGAAGGTTTAATGTTGTTATTATTATACAGCTGAGTAACTAAACAGCACGTGTTGTGCAAAACTGACAAATGCTGTTCACAGATGTTACCAGACATTGTCTACTAACCTGCTGAACTCGCGGTTAAATCTCTATATAGTTAATTCAGCTGCGCCAGAGTCAACCTAGTCCTGTCGTTGCGAATAAACGACCACAGCTGATTGTTTTTGTCGCGTATGAATGTTGACTACACGGCTAATAACACAAGTTAGCAAACACAGTGATCGAAAAATAAACAGATCTCAAACAGGCTCCCTGAGAGCGTTTACGCCGTGATAGAGCCCTCGATAGATAACGACATCCACATAAATACTCTGATGTGATGTAGATCCACCTACCTGACAGTTAGGATCGCTGTTAAAGGAGGAATCCTGAACACAAATACTGGAAAGTTCAGCAACCGTCTGTGTTAGCAAGGCTGTGACGTCATACGGGGGAAAAATGTGAGACTATGGCGAGTCAGATAGATCAAAAGTCTGCATGCTTTCGCTAAAATCAAACGTCGCTGCTTGGATCTATTCTGGCTTGACCCATAGATCTATGCCATAGACTGTATAAAGAACGGACAGAGTCTGCCTCCTTGCTGGGTGAAGCCACTTCGAGAACAGCACCCCCTGTTGAGAAATTCATTACACAGAACAGAATTTGTTTCTTCTTTGACCTGTTTCGTTAGCTAAGGCCTCTACAATACTCCAAATCATATTCTGTCCATATATCTGTATAGTGGTCCGGCAAATGATTTAAAGCTTTGTTTTCTTTTATTTGCCATATTTATTATGTTCAAAATAAAATGAGGAAAACAAAGTACGAGTAAGTAAGTAACAAGGTTTTGGTGAAGGGAATACCATACCTTTAATTTTAGTTCCAGACAATATTTTCCATTAACTCGTTCATACAAATGTTAATATTTTGATTGGTGAGAACTGTTTATCTACTAGTAGTTAAATGTACAGCTGGAACCAGTGGAAAATAATGAGAATTATGTTTTATATTTCAAAATGAAGGATTAGAAAACATAAAATCTTTGGTGTCCAATTCCTTTCATGTCATATAAACACTGCAAAATTACATTGTTTTTTAGTCTCCATACAGACATAACAACCATATTTAATAGATAATTAGGACAAATAAAGCAAGCACAGCGTTTAGATAACAGTTTGCATTAGAAAAGTGTTTTTTTCTGAAGCTTTTTAATAATTTATTGTTGTTTTTTTACTTTGGTTTGACTAATTAGCCAATGTTATTATAATTTTAGTAGATCGAAGCCCATTTAGAAAACAACCAAGATAGACAAATCTTCCAAACCTTTAATTGAAATCAAATGGACGCCAGGTGGCAGTGCCACATTTGAGGGCCGAGGGTGCTCGTCACAGTGCTGATCCATAGACTGTATACAATCTAGAGCAAAAACCTTCAATTTTCAAGCCTCAGAACGAAGTTAAGTTTTCCCAACTTTCATATTTTGTTTGCTAAAATTGTTTAACCCACTCCTCAAAGTAGACAGTGCAATATACTTCCCCCACTCAAAACCTTATTTTTGGAGCATAATTAGTCTGCTGCATGTTTCATCGTGTAACACCCTTGCTGTAATTTATGTGCAAACCAAATCAATACTGAGGCTGCTTAAAAGACAAAAAATGATTTTTGTTGAGAACCATTTAAATGAAATGCTGCTCCACAAAGTATTAACTTCTCAGAATGAACTGTTTCACTGCTGCTTTATCAATTATTGACTTGTTTTCTCACCCAAACAGCAAAAATCCACTTAAATTCTGAAAGAATTACAGCGGTTTGCCTGAATTTACAGCCTAAATCTCATTACTGCAGAAAAAACCATAATTAGTCCGTGTATGTCACTCGTCTCTCCCACTTCAGCTGCAGACTAAACTGAGACGAGCACCAGTCTGTATCATCCTCACTCACAGATGACGCATTTTCCATCACGGGTATAAATACTCAGGATCATTCTCCCACAGCAGCCCCCACTCGTAGTTCAGACTCTCTCCGCGCTGCACACACTCCTAACCATCCACTATGTGCTCCTTCAGGTGCGGCAGAGTGATGCGCACCTGGCTCTCCAAAAAGTGTCAGTGAGCTCTCTGCAAACAGATCGAGTCTACCGAAGATGGACGGCACAAACAACACGACAGATTGGTTTTTGTTTCAGAACTTTTCAAACTCGACGCAGCCCAAGGAAGAGGAGGTGAAGCTGAGTTACCAGGTGGTCACGTCCTTCCTGCTCGGCGCGCTTATCCTGTGCGCAATCTTTGGGAATGCGTGCGTAATCGCAGCCATCGCCTTGGAGCGCTCTCTCCAGAATGTGGCAAACTACCTGATCGGTTCTCTGGCGGTGACAGACCTCATGGTGTCCGTACTGGTGTTGCCTATGGCGGCGCTCTACCAGGTGTTGAACCGGTGGACTCTCGGGCAGATCCCGTGCGACATCTTCATCTCTCTGGATGTGTTGTGCTGCACTTCATCCATCCTGCACCTGTGCGCCATTGCCCTGGACAGATACTGGGCGATAACTGAGCCCATAGACTACATGAAGAAGAGGACACCGAGGAGAGCGGCCGTCCTCATCAGTGTCACCTGGCTCGTAGGATTTTCCATCTCTGTGCCGCCAATGTTGATCATGCGCTCCCAGCCCAGCAGCATGGCAGAGGACAGGGCGAACCCCAAACAGTGCAAGATTAGACAAGATCCCTGGTACACAATATACTCGACATTTGGGGCTTTTTACATCCCGCTGACACTGATGCTGGTTTTATACGGGCGAATATTCAAAGCGGCAAGATTCCGAATAAGGAGGACTGTGCGTAAAACGGAGAAAAAGAAAGTTACCGATTCTTGCTTGGCCATATCCCCCGCGCTTTTCCACAAAAAGACTCAGGGAGACGCGCAGGGAAAGACCTGGAAAAGAAGCGTGGAGCCCCGGCCGCTGCCGAGCGTCAACGGCGCGGTGAAGCACGCGGAGGACGGCGAGTCTCTGGAAATCATCGAAGTGCACAGCAACTCCAAAGGTAACCTGCCGTTGCCCAACACCATGAGCTCCGTGCCTTTGTTCGAGAACAGGCACGAGAAGGTGACCGAGGCAAAGAGGAAGATAGCGCTGGCACGTGAGCGCAAGACTGTGAAGACTCTGGGCATCATCATGGGTACCTTCATCTTCTGCTGGCTGCCTTTCTTCATCGTCGCCCTGGTCATGCCTTTCTGCAAGGAGTCGTGCTACATGCCCGGCGCGTTGGAGGATGTCATTAACTGGCTGGGTTACTCCAACTCTTTACTCAATCCCATCATTTACGCCTACTTCAACAAAGACTTTCAGAGCGCCTTCAAGAAAATCATCAAGTGTCATTTCTGCAAACCGTGAACCGAACAGACTTTAAGAGTGGCACAAAATGAAGTTTTGATACAGATAGCTGTAAAACCCGAACCAAGGGATAATAAACCATCACCATCGGCAACAGTATTGAGTGTTTCCAAACGTGTCTGTAGTCTATGCATAGATAAAGCTGTGATGTTCGACTGAAGCTCCCTGTTCTTCATCCTGTTCTATAATGTCCAATAAAGACATACTTTTCTGTAATTTTCAGTACTCTTGATTTTCCATTATATTATTGAACTGACTGTTTAAAAAACGAGCAGTAAAATCAGGGTATTACAAATGAAATGGTAAATATTTTGTCCATTTAAAATGTATGAGGAAACGTAACCCAAATAACTTGTAAAAATCTGGATCTTTCCTTTTTAAAATCGATTCAAAGTTGTATATCCGTAGATTTAGGACTGGTGATCAGACAGTGGTCATATAGCACCAAACAATTCAGAGTTACAACTGAGTCATGATGATTTGATAAACCAATAACTAGGTGTATCACACATTCATTGCCATCAATGTCATATCACAATTGACCATTTGACTTGTGCTTCTTTCCTGGTTAAGAGAAAATCAGTTTAAAAAACCTATTTTGTCTTATTTATTATTATGATATTGGGTTAAACCAGCAGGACTCCTGAAACATAAGTGTTATTTCAGACTGATGTGAAGCTGCTTATAGAAAGATGTTTTTACTCAAAGTTTACTATTGTAAAATGTATGCAATACATGCAATTGATAGTACTAAAATGCAGCTTAATTGATCTACCGTACCTTTAAGTCATGATCACAATAAATTTTGGATACAAACTGCATTGATTCACCCATCATCAAGGGTTCTTGGCAGGGGTGTGCCCAGGAATGGCATGGCCCCCCTAAAAATCTGATTGGCCACCCCATGATTCTATATTTTAATATATTTACTTTATTTGTGGTGGGATTATTGTTATGGTTAACCATTTGGAAGATGTTGCAACTATGAGGCATCTGGCCCTCAGACATGAAGTGCTAAAAACTGCAGTTCCTCGATTTTCCACTAGAGCCTGTCTCCAAAAGCACCAGGACTCACATACACACCCATTGAAAAAAAGAAAAAAAAAGTGTTTGCAGCTTAGTTCATAAAACTTTTGGTCCGAATAGCTTCTCTTTTGACACATACTGTATGGAGAAGAAGCAGGTAGGTGAAAGGCCCAAACTCCCAACCCAGTGATTGGTTGACCAAAAGCTACGCAGAATTTCCAATATGGTGTTCACTGCCAATGGGCTTCAACACTGTACTGTACACTGTACACTGCTTCTCAAACTGAATTTTATTCTGTCAATAACTGCAACAGACTGCCAGTTGCTTATTTTGCATTAAAGTGGGGCAGATTTTCTTGTTAGTTCTTAAAATAGTTGAAAAGTACTGAATTCACATTTCTTTTGATTTAAATGTTGTCACTGTGTTATCTAAAAAATATAAACAAGGAAATCCCGACTCCAAAATATTTCAATACAAGTCGAGTAGTTATTAGCAGTGGTGACAGAACGGATTGATGAACACTTTTCAGTCCCATGTGTTTGTATGCATGTTCTCCTGCCATACTGATCACCTCTCTAGTCGTACCCTCACCCATATAGTCTCAATGAAGGATGCATTTAACTGTTACAAGAAAGCAAGGTGAGATTTATGACAAAATTTCTCTTACACACCTATATGTCAAATCATGAGGTACTCCAGGGGGTGCTGGAATTAAGCAATCCAGTTCTTTTGACTCATAATGAACTAATTTAATCCCTGTAACCACTTTGAGGGCAAATGTTAGACCAGATGACTGACAGCATGCCATGGAGAAACTACTCAAAGTGAGTAATGCTGTAAAAATGCTGTACAAGATTTTTGTTCCATTTGAAAGGTAATAAACAAAGACATAAAAGCCATCACCTTATCCACAAAGACAAACAGTTTAAAGTTCCCAAAGTTTAAGTTCCCAACAGCAACTTTTAGTGTGAAAGATAACCTCTTAGTTAAGTTTTACTCACTTTAGAAATTGTGAAGACTTTTTGTTCATTTGTTTCAACTTGTATCGCCATAAGCAATGTAATAAGAACAATGTGTAAAGATGGTTAAGTACCATTAGTTCAGCATAACTCCAAATGCAATCATACTTCACTGCATGTTCAAATGCTTTCATACTGTTTATGTGGTAAAAGTTAATGAGCTAAAGCACTTCCATCAGTTAGATAAAGTTCTTATCCTTAAAACTATAACTTACATGTACTCATTATGAGACTGGAATGGGCTGTTTAACATCTGAAAGACAATTAAAAGAAACACCCACGCTGCTTTCTTCAGCTGAAATCTTTTGTTTTGTGTGCATAATTGTGTTGTTATAAGCTTCTTCTAGTCTGTTCTGCCGGATTTTTCGTTCTCTGTAATGGATTTGCATGGAAATGATGACAATAAACATCTGGTCTTCAACCCCTCCTCCCTCGGAGCACACACGACTTGTCAGTGAAAGCTGTCATAAGTGGAGATGGAGAAATGAAGAATCCATGATGACACCATTGTTAGGCTAGATCACCTCACAACCTCTCTGACCTCTTGCAGAGATGACCACTGTGCACGTAAGCATCTTTAAACCTGCAGAATTTCCATGCTGAGGAGAGCACAAAGATACCAGATGATGAGCAGACTTTGAGAGAAATGGGCATCAAATTGATTTGAGGTTGATCAGATTTTAGATTGGATGGAAAGTTATTACTATGATAATTGTGAGTCTCTGGTTTGAATATTTCAGTCGACGAGAATACTCACCTTGTGTGCAATATAAAGTTATCTTGTGTGCACATTGTTGTTTTTATCTTTTGGGAAAAATATCTGTAGAGTAAAATCTAATTCTGGCAAGTAAATAACTTTTGTTGTTTGAGACTATTTTGCTCATTAAATAGATGTATCTGATTGGGACAAGGGACCATCTTGTGTTTATGATACACTTACCTTGTGTGCACAAAAAACAATGTTTATCTTATCTGATTATGCATGAATGAGAAAGCTCTTATACATTTAAGAATTTTGAAACCTCTGTGTGAAGAAGATAAACAACATTTATGTGAGGACAGGAGTTTACAGGATTACAAGGCACCTCTATTCCACAAACGGTTATTACTGTGGGGTGATTTCTTATGTCTTTTGAGATTGTTATTCATGTGCTTTGCTTTTTAATACATTTTCTTCATGTTCTTGGATCAAAGATTGTGTGTAAATCTGTGTGTGTGAGTGTTGTATGTGTTGAATGGGGTTTGGGAGGGTGGATGGGGTTTGGTATTTGTATTTATTTTATTTCATTGTTTTTAATTTCCTGCTTAAATGGACAGTACTTTGTGCTACATTCTATGTATGAAAAGTGTTTTAAAAATAAAGTTTGATTGATTGATTGATTGATTGATTGAAATATCTATTTTGCTCCAGAGACATCCACACAGGCAGAAAACACAGTTTAAACTGTTGAAGTGTTATTACCCACTGCCACCACAAGATGGAGTATGCTGCTAGTGAGTCCTTCTACAGGACGTAAACAGTATCGATAAACCGTAGTAGCTCAGTATTGTAACATGAAGCTGTGCAAAACCACCTTGTCAATGTGCTTTTCTGTTTTTGTACATTTAAAGATTTGCAGTGTGGTAAAAGATAAAAGTTAATGTTACATTTGTCACTGTTGGACTTCACTTTGTCTCCTGCTTTAAAAAGGTATTGTCTTAGCTGAGGTGTGTCCTTGGATTGCATCTGTTTTACCTGCACTCCTGTTCTTTCATCTCAGTAGTGAGTTGATTTAAGGACTCATGATACAACAAAGAAAAATGTTTTTCAAGTGACATGAAAAAGATGTTTCAACATTTTAGAGTCTGTCACTGAGTTGGAGAGTGTCCTGCAATCATCAGGAGCATGAACAAAGAGAGAGATTTAAACTAGAAGGACAAAAAAAAGTGTGTCACCGCACACTGGCTGTCAAAGGTTGATGTGAAGTGGTGGTTGTGCCTTTTTGTGCGCCTCGCTGCCCTTTTCCTTCATCACTCACAGCTTCATGATATATAAGTCCATCTTAAAAGGGCTGTGAGAGGTGCACACTGAATGCTGGAGAGGTGGTCACCATAGCAACATATGGGAAATGCAAACTCCTGGGCCGAAGGGGCAATTACCTGATCAAAGGCCTGCTGGGACAGTAGAGTACAGAGGTGAGTGCGAGGACTCCACAGCTGGCAGCTCCACAATAAGCGGGTGTATTTTTGATTCTTTCTTTCTGGTTCAGTGTTTGACAGGCACCACCAACGATTGGACAACCACAGTGCCACAAACTTTTTCTTTGTCTTTGTTCAATCTTTAAGGACATAAAATAATTTAAGTTTATTTAGGAAAACAAAGCTGTCACTGAAGTGCTGACAATATAGTTTCTACAGCGGCCTCTAGAATTTGTCTGTACGAACAAGTCACTCACAACGTTTCCACAATTACTCCAGCACTACGCATGTTTAAAGCCTGGGAAAAACATTTATTCATATTTGACTCATCTGTTCACACCCATTATATAGAGAGTACTTTTCATTTAGACCCCAAAGAGCCAGCATCCCAATGACATTGAACCAGTACAGAAAGTTCGGCAACGCTTTCTTTTACGGTACACTTATTACCAGGTAATTACCAGGTAATTACCTAGTAACAACATGAAATTATCTGGTAATTACATGATAACTACTAAGTCAATACTGTCTAGTTACCAGGTAGGTAACCTTCCATCATCATACAAATCTGAAGCCGAATTGCTCTGGTATTTCCAGGATTTTCTCTCCGCTTCCTGGAACCACCACTTCCGTAGTAGCATTGTACGCATTCGGCGGGTGAGTCACTGTGATAATGCTTGGCTCAAACAGCGTATCGCTACGCAATCTTCGCACGCCCACAGGCTGTATCAAGTGTCAATCATAGAAAATAAGAACCCCAAAAAGCTTTTGAAAATGGAGCTGCACAGAAAAAAGAAAAAAAAGAAAAACTAGACAGTATTGACTTAGTAGTTATCATGTTATTACCAGATAATTTAATGTTTGTTACTAGGTAATTACCTGTTTATTACCTGGTAATAAGTGTACTGTAAAAGAAAGCGTTACCATTGCTTCTTTTGTCCACACCAACCACAATCTTCTACGTCATCCTGGCAACTTCCAGCCAGTGTGAGCACATCTGGTACCTACACCGGCCCAGGACTGAACCAGCGCTAACTATGAGCTTTATCAAGAGGAACGATGGACCTGATAACCTAAAACCCAACCACCCAGATCACTTTAGAGACTTTTGGTATGATGAGCAGGGCTGCATAATGTCCTAGAGCGTTAATTGGGTACTATGAGCTCATTAAGATATGATGGTTTCTGACCACGAAGAGCTTGTAGATCAGAAGAAGAATTAAAAATTCTACCTTAAAAGTAACAGGAAACCTGGTTCTGGTCAGTACTCAGTACTCAAAGCTGATTCAAGAATAAAAAATGAGAATATTCAAATTGTTGCTTTCATCACTAATAATCTTGTTTGTTATTATGCGCCATAAACATGCATTAGTGTCGGTCTTTATCAGTTTGACAACCAGGTAAAAACTCCCCTCAGGACATTCAGACAAAGCCTTGGTAACATGGTGCAACTATTCTACTTTTGTTTCCTCTTTGATGAGTCATATTTGAAGAGATGACAAACCTCTATCCTTTTTTCCTTGAATGGCAAAAAAACTTTTCTATTTTCAGCACCCTCAGTCTTATCCTCCTGAACCTGCAGCTGGTGTGGGTTGTTACTGTATTTGGTCTCACAGTCAGTCATTTAAACATCAAACAGGACAGTGTTTGTTGTCCTGTTTTTTTTATATTTTTCTGCAGCTGTCTCTCTGCTTGTCCAGATTTTTTGTCAGTAAAAGGTGAATGAACAATTTTACTATTGGGTTCACTGTGTTAGCTGGTTGCATTGATTAGGTCTAAAGAGCTGCAGATGAAATAGGCATAAAATATGGAAAATTATTCAGATTTGCCAGTTTTAAAACGATTTAATCAATGTTTTTTGTTGATTTAAAAAAGAATAGAAAGGAGTTTAAATTCTATCAGCAATACTTTCTCAATACCAGGCACATCAGCCATACTGTGTCACCAACCATTTAACACATCTTTAACCTTATGTGACTTTAAAGCTCCTGTAAGGAATTTTTTGATGTTCGTGAAATAGATAAAATTCACATTGATGCTTCTTTTAAGATAAAAAAGAGCACTTAAACTGCTTTACTTTTGCACAGAAATCAAATGCTCTGTTAGTAGACACTAGCCCTTACGATTTCGATTTTAAAATCCTTGTGAGGAGTACAACATGATCCAATGATGATACATTTCAATCTCGAATGGATGTGTCTTGATCTCAAATTGCAATCATATTTTAATCAGATCTCCAAGATCTGATTTGTCTTCAGTCTTATTTTCAGGTCCACACATTAAGTTCAGTCCCTACAGTTTAATTTCATTGGAGTACACCGATGCCTGCAGGGGGCTCTAGTGGGGCTTAGGGTTGTGTTTGTATTTTTCTTATTCTAGCTGATACCAATTCACAAAAGGGAATGTCATAGTTCTGAGCATGATAGTTTTAATAAGATAATGGGGAGGACAAATATATTAACCCTATGTATCAGGTAGCAATTATTTCCCCCATAATGGATTTAAAAAAAATCTTTCCTCTGTGAGTCTCTAAACAGAAATACAATCAGAAAAATCCCATCCTTGCATATTTCAAAATGCCAAAAGCAAAGCATCATTTGAAAACAGCGAGGCATCTGTCACCTCGCAGAGCAATATCAAATGCTCTCATTCAGTTATTGAGAACAGATCAACCCGTGACATTTTCCAGCTGCCTCTCAAATCCTGCTGTCATGACCCTCAGAGTCTCATTCTCAAGTTTGATTTTATGTCTAAAGTTGAGTCTTTGGTGTCATCTCGATCAGTGTGTGAGAGTTCAGTCTAATACATGCAGATTCTTAATAGATAATTAAATCACAATAGAGCTGTATATAGCTGACACTACAGTCGTTATGTGGGTGTGATGCTCATGGCTGAATTAGAAAAGACCTTCACTACAAAGCTAATAAAGCCAATGCATTGAGGGTCAGGCCAAGTCAGCATTAATATTATATATTCTTTGTATTATTAATAAGACTAGAACACAGGATGTAACTCTAAGAATGGGGAAAATGATACAGCAGGTTTTATTTCATAGTACTGTAACAAAACCAAGATGTTTTGTGTTAATACTCGAGAGTTAACATTACAAACTCATTAGTTTTATCTTGTGTAGTAGTCCTGAAAATAACACTGTAAACGGAATTAAATATGATATTTGAAACTTAAAATGTAATTCAAATTATCTTTGACAATTACAAGTCATGTTAATATCCTAATAGTTAGTGTTAACATATAAAAAAGAGGAAATCTTTTCCCATGGGGCTTATTTCTTTCCCCATTACCCAATGATTGTTACCAATCATTAGGAAACTAAGAGCTAGAAAAACTGAACATCATAACAAAAGCACATACATGGATATACAGGCGAGTGCAAATCCTCAACGTACTCGGGGTTTATGGTTTTGTGGGTTAATATTGCTTGAATCATGTTTCAGAGTTTATTTGCGTCACTGCAGACAGACATATGATGATGACGTCAAATCCAGAGTGAGGGAAGTTCATCTGAGCTTGGAAGAAAGGAGTAACCTCTGCTACTACGAACAAAACAGTACAGAGGACAAGAAAGAACATTGTGTGATGGAGCAGTCATGCACTGTGACTCCACAATGTGATTGTTTTAAGGGTGAGATAAACTCTAACCTGTTGGAAAGCCATTGATCTCTGGTATGGATTTAATGAGATACGCAATGATGCTCATATTGTAACCATTTAAACCAATAAAAACAGGGGATCTCAGTACAGACTGGGGTTCTCAACTGATGGGTCGGGGTCCAAAAGTGATACACAAAGCCATTTTTTTGCGGATGTGAGCTTGAAAGAAAGACTGCGACAAACTTTGCGTTGTGTTTTTGTCTTGAAAGATTTGTGTTTAAGAAAACGCAGTTCTATATGGATGGACAGAAACCAAAGAAATTGCTATTTGCCATTGGAAGCAATTTGTGTGTAAAAGCTAACAAATCTTTCTGTATTTCATACTAAAGTGAACTTAAAAATCTGAATTCATGACCATATTTTAGAATGATGACATTACTCAGATTCACAGTGTGTTAAACCTTGATAAACAGGTTAATTTAATCATATAGACCCACTTGACAACCAACATTAGCAACTGAACGAAGGAAAATAACAAGTTAGCCAGTTAGTAGCCATAACTCAGCATGCCTGCCATGTGGTCTCTCCACAACATGCTGAAAAATAAAGTTTTTACGACGTTCAAGAAAATTTTTTGGTGTGAAATCTTAGAGGTAAATCATTGCGATTCACATATGATTGAATGGGATTTCCAGTTGACATACCTTAGCTTACATTATAAGGGCAGTTTTTGAAATACAACTCAGTATGTTGTGGAAATGCACCTTGACGGCGCTTGTCAACCATCATTAAAGAACAGATTTAAAGGTCTCCACTGCCATGAAGAAGTGGCGATGGGTCTCAGAGCTAGAGCAGCTAATAGTCTCCAGCAGATTAATTTGAACAAATCACTTGTACAAAGTGTGATAAAATATCTTGGAGCTGCAACAACACAGAGCAACATTCAGCCAATGCCAGAGCATCACAAAGCCTCTCTGGCCCGAGGTTTTCCTGTGCCCCATACCTGTGGCATTGGACAGCCCTTAGCTACAGTTTTATGTCTGAATGGACTATTTGAGTTGGTGATTGGCCAGTGAAGAGAGACATTGATCTGATTGGGTAGCTTAATGCCTTGGTAAATGACTGGCTTTGTCTACTTCCACAATCCAAAACAGTATTACATTGGTACAGCCATTGGGGATATTTCGTTAGATATACTGTAACTTGATCGAAAGTTAATATATTATGCATCCAACCAAGTAATTTATTAGAATATAAAGAGTAACCAAACAGTTCTTCAAAACGAAGGTTTTGGAAATCTAGGTTATCTAACCTTTTTCTGTTGTTACTGTAGTCTGCAGCGTCTCTGTGTGCAAGTCTTTGGAGCAGAGGATGTGGGTTTCAACTCTCTGTATTTGTTCCTTACTTTATCTATCCTCTCCTCTAAGTAAAAGTATGAAAGTCCAAAACTAAACATTTAAAATATAAACAAAAAAGCTGGGGAATTTAATGTCAGTTAGGTGTGTTTGTTGGAGGTGAGGTTTATAAGGTTCTGACTTCTTTCATTGCCGTATGGACAAAGTATTAAAACTAATGTTTAAAAGTCTGATATCTCTTTGCACAAACTTCAAAGTAAACGTCCAGGACATGGCAAACAAAATTTAAAGCAGGGCTGCTACAGAGAGAGTCAGAGGAAACACACTGGGTTTAGTGAATGATGTGGAACAGGGAGGGACTGCCATGAAAACCAGCTCAGGAAATGCCTTATCTGGGAAACAATGGGCTCTGAAACAATGACTACACTGTAAAGACTTCAACTTTACTGAGAAGACCTAAAAACAATCAGCTTTGAGACAAACTAATAAACTGTTTTCTTCATAGATTTATTGCAGACTCATCCATAATACAACTTTTTGGCTGAAAGTTTTATTGGCCTGTTATTTTTTGTTGCTTGGTGCAGAAAACAACAAAATGTCTTGATCCTCTGATACTGTCTAGATACTGGATGTAATCCAACTCCTAATCGTATAACCTTTAGCATATTTTCATCTGAAGAACAAGAATTTTACTGTCCAAGGAAAGAATTCATGGCAAAGCTGTAAGAAAATAAACCTACCTGCCTTTAACTACATGTGTCTTGTGACTGCAGAAACAGAAAATGCTGTTTTTGTTTTTTACAACTGTCCTGTTTAAAACAATCCAACTGTCTGTTTTGGTGTTTATCTGAGATGAGAAGTCATTGAAGGTCTAAGATCTATGAGTGTATAGAATTATCAGTTTTGTAGTTAGTCTTCCTTTATAATTGTTATTTTTCTCAGCTTACACGTGTGCTTAAATGCAGAAAATTGTCACACTGAAAAAAGTCCACCAAACAAAGTCAACTACTAGGTGTTAAAAGCTGAATGCATTAGTCTACTTAAATAAAGCTGTGAGATATTACATAGTTGGATCTTTACAGGTTTTTATTGTCCTAACATTCTAAGTAGTCCAATTTTCTCCAGACACAAGCACTGGGAATCACTACTCTGTGCTCCATATTAGTAGATCACACACTGAGTCTATGTAGCAAACCAGGACTGCGTGTTGTCCCAGGGTCAGGGCTGTCTGCAGTAGCTCCAATTTTGTTCCACACCCGTCAGCCTTTAAAATGTATACATCCATACGTGGGAAGTTACTTCAGCTCCTCCAGTCTTCTAACCCAGGCCTGGAAATGTAAAAATCATAAAACTCATTACAATCCCTTTTTAATGAATGGCTTGTCTCATTCTGTGAAACTATTGCATAAGTCATGCACACCTGGTTGTCTGCCATTTTCTGAGCTTGAATGCTCTCCACACAGGCGAGATCCTCCTGTGCCAAAGCACAAGGACCTTGGTCTCCTCATTGACCTTTTCTCGACCTCTTCCTCTACCATGGCCTCTACCCCTGGGGTTTTGTTGTCTGGCCTCCATTGCCCTGCTGTAGCTGGGCCTAGGCAAGCTAGCTCCTGTGGCTAACTCTAATACCTGTAGAAAGAGCGAATGCTCACCTGCCTAGCTGGAGTACGCTAAGCTAGCTTAGCTTTGTTTGCTATCAGTTTAGCAAATTATAATTTAAAAAAACATAGCATGTGACCATGAGTTGTATGTGATGTCAAAATGTTTACTTAAGTCATTGACAGTCTTCTTACCTCTGTTTGTGGGCGGGGCCTGCTGGAGCAGAGAGGGAGGGGACAGGGGAAGCTAAGGGGAAAACCGTAGAGGAGGGGTAATGTTGAGGTCCAAAATTTCTCCCCTAAACTAATGTTTACTCCAATTCTGCTTCAAGTTGCAGAGTGATTGTGTACTTCATTAATTCATTGTGGTTGTTTTAAACAAACAAATACCAATTTAGAAAAACTTTAATGATTTGGTAAATTTAATGAATTGTCTCGACTTTGCCTACAGCTTGGTCAGCAAACAAACAATCAGCCTTTGTGATGAAAACAGTTCCAGTAATCTTTACAAGTGATGTCTCTGTTCATGTCAAAGGTCAGAGAGACGAGTGTTCAAACAGAATCACTTTTGAATGGTTAGAGATGCTTGAGAGCCTGGAAGGTCTGTAAGCTCCGATTCGAGAGTATACATCTGCATCCGAGCACGCGCCCCAGGATAGGTGGGGACTGGGTGGGGTGGTGTGGATCACAGGCAGGGGCAGAGGGAAGGCCTGGACGGGAGCTGTTGAAGGGAGAGTAGGTGGAGTGTGGAGGGGAGGTGGAGGCAAGACAGGAGGAAGGGGGAGTGGTAGTGGTGGTGGTGAAGACATTGGTGGAGGTGGTAATGGTGTGATAGTAGCCGCAGGAATCACAGGGCTCAAAGTGGTGACATGATGAGTAACCTCAGGGATCAAACCATTCTTGGTTGGCAGGTCTTGATTCCGATCAGGGTGTTTGAAGGTGTAGTTGGCGCTGTGGAAGAAGCTGTGGTACTCCAGAGCGTGCCTTGCACGAGCCATCCTCAGCCTGCAGGAAACAACGTACACTGAGAGATTCTCTTTCATTTGGGAAATTGGTTCATTCATTCAACATGTTTTTTTTTTATTATTATATTTACTTTAGTCCGGGTTATTCATCCACTCATACCTAATTATAATTATTGTTGTTGATACATGCAATGTGTCCCGGAGAAACTATGGTTTGTATCAACAAATCTGTTTCAGTTGCAATAACAGAGTTGTTGTCGTTTGTTGTTTGTAATTTAGATTGATATGAATCAAATGTCTGTGCATTGAACAGTTATCCATAGTTACAAAGACTTGGCAGAATAACCTGGGTCTAAATGATCTAAAGGTACAAGGCTATCGCAGTTTGCATTTGTGTGAAACCATAAAGTTGTTGTGCCAACAATTTTTAAGCAAGTTCTGCGCCACACGAAGAAAAAAACCTTAATTTCTTGTAATTGTCACTGTCAGGTACAACTACTGATACTTTTTAGGCTGTTAAACAGTTAATTTTTGTAATCATGATTGTTTATGATTATGAAACTTTCTCAGTTTTCTCTGCTTTCCCAACACAACACCACTGTGTTTATGTTTTCTCTTAGTCAAGAGATGGATAATGTCGACCATATATCAGAGTACTGGAAACCTGACTTCAAAAATCAATCAGACAGTATTTTTATCAGGAGATGAAAAAGACTAAGGAAAACAAATGAGGCATTAAAAGTCGAACAAACTGTTTTGTTTTCTTTCACATGTAAAACACATACACACCTGTGTCTGAGCTGCAGGAGTCTGTAGAGCAGCAGCAGGATCACCACTCCAGCCACAGTCACAAGGAGCACCACCACCCTCATATCCAAGCTCCAGCAGGATTTCCCAGATCCAGGTGAGTTGCAGGATCTGGGGGTCTGTGGAGTCTGGAGGGGTCCATCCATACCCCGTTTAGGATTGATGACTGCCTGGACTACACCTGGTGGGATATTGTCCAGCAAGATTGGGTGTCGATTCTTTAGTACAGGGATTTGAGGCTGAGGGGGGATCTGGAGAGAGGTGCTGCTGGTGACCTGAGGGCCAACCTGCATGGTTGCTATGTTTGATTTAGTAGAAGCTGTGGAGTGTTGCTGGACTTGGACTATTCCCTCATGTTGAAATGTTCAGATGTGTGAGCAGGTGTCCATGGCAGAAGTCTGTAAAATAAAACATTTAGACGGATCGTGGCTTTCTCAATAAAACCTTCTGTGCCGCTTTTTGATCTTGAACACAGTAAATATGTGCTCATTATGAATTTGGTACCTCTCGTCTGATGGGACAGAGACATATTTATTGACTTTACACGACAATTGTTTGGGGAGGCTGGTTTCTGGAGTTCTGAGAGCATCATGTTGTTCCATTCCTGCCTGACATAGGGTTTCAGCTGCTCAACTGGAAAGGAGAATGTGGCATCCATGATTTCCAAAAAGAATATCAAGTTTTAATTTATCTGGCTAAAGGAGAGTGTCTTCACCTCATCCCATCCTCAATGGGTTTGATCTTCATAGACGCGTTTATGCCAATTAATGCCGATCTGTGATGTATTTTTTCAGCCCTTCAGCATAATATCCTTGGAGTGTAACAAGTAACCAAGATTTATGGGAAAATGTATTGGAGTAAAAGTAAACCTTTTAATCTGTAAATGTAGCATAGTGAAAGTAGAAGTCAGGAAATATAAAATCTCAAAGTACAGATACAGCCAAAAACTACTTAAGTACAACAACAAAGTACTTTAACTTAATTACTTTAGACCACTGAAATGCTCATTTACTATTTTTGTAAAACAATAACGTTTTTCAGTTTCAATATTTGACTTGTTGTCTTTACTTATTTTCAAATACATTTAAATGACTTGCAAACCATCAAATTCTGCTTTAATCAACATTTTACTCCACATCCCCAGGACTTATAATGCTGGGGATGGGGTTGGTTGCCACATGTGGGAACATGGCCCTGATGTTATATTTTTTTCCTGGGACCCTAAGTCCCCTGGTAATGGTCCTGCCTGTGGTTGTCAATAATACCAACAACATTTAGTAAAATGACTATTTCTAATAGTCTGCACTTTCACTAACCATTAAAGTTTCTTATTTATTCTTACTAAATCTATTCTCCTTCTACTAACATTTGTATTTTTTCAAGAGCAAGTGTAAAACTGTAATGGCCGAATTACCCCTGGGAATACATTCTGATTCTGATTCTGATTCTGAATACATGTCGACCATGATAGCTGTGTAAAAATGCATATCCTCATCATCATGAAATCTGGTCAAATCTGGCTCTAAGAAAATAAAATGGTAAAGATAAAGATGCCAGATTTGAGGGATGCTACTGGCCTTAGAAATTACAATATAGTATAGAGCAATGCCACTAGGGTTACAGGTACAAAAAATAATCAAAGAAGGCAAGGATTATTTTTCCTATCTACTTATAAATTGTGCAAAATAACATGATGCAAAAACTTCTAAACCCTTTTCTCCTTGACTCTTTTGCAAACTCAGTACTTTAACAGGAAGTAAACAATGTTACATTCAGATTAAGTGTTTGTGGACCATGTCACAAAAATATGGGGACCAACACATAAAACAGTCCTCCTTACAACCTGCACTGATCAAAGATAAGTTGAGTACACTTCAGTTTTTACAAGTTTATACCTAACCATTCTTTAAAAGTCTGTTAATATTAACTTATCTTGCTTGAATGTGAGTTTTTAGACAAGGCATTTGAACAAGTGGTTTAATTAAAGTACAGCTACATGTTAAAAACAATCCAAAAGAAAATTCAACTTACTTAAATTCGATGATGCTGAGTAGATGCATTATATATTTTTAAAAAATGCACAAAATGGTTTGACTGGACGCACAGGACACTGTTCAGGGACTGTGGTGCTTTCCAGGACCAGATGCAGATTCCCAGACACACACCAATGGGAGGAAACCAGTGGAAACAGCAGGAAACGGAGCACTTCCCTAACATACAGTACAGAGATATGATTGGAGAGCACTTCCCATCGCTATGGTTACAGGAAACTGGTCAAGGATGTCCTTTTTTTCAGGACTTCATTTTGAGGTGAATGTAGCTCTCAAACAAAATGATCATATGAACACACTAAATGAACCATGGTTTGCATAGCCTTTAGATAAAGAGGCTCTCAACTTCATTCATCCATGTAAGGGTAAAAAAAAAAAAAAACAGATTGAGCCTCTTATACATTGATAAGATGAAAAGTAATGGCCCAGAACTTGAGGCCTGGACATAAGTCTTGTGTTAAAAGGGTTTTCATGGCTCTTTTACTCAGATAAATCAGGGGACAAAAACAAAATAGAGAAGCAGAACACATCTGCACAGTGTGACCTTTGAAACCAGGCCTTATCTGAAAAGCAGGAACAAAAAGCAGTTTCAGAGGAAAAAAGAAGCACCCTTTTTTTTACCACCACAGCAGCCCACATTAGTCCTGGCAGTGCCGGTGTGGGTCAACAGACCCAGAGAGATGGTGACAGCAGTGAAAGGCTGGCTGCTATCTGATTGAGCCGGTATTCAGCAGACAAATAAATGACACATGAGGAGAGAATACGGCGGGGCTCCGACATAAGTCCAGCTCTCATTTATCTGTCTAATAAGTTTTGATGCCGGGCCAGAGGGAGGAACTCTTAGCACTACACTCAATATTCCTGCCTGGCACCCTCACAATTCTCTGATATTGGAGAGGAGAGTAATATTAAAAGATCTCTTATCTGAGGCACAATTGTAGTTTGTGAGGGAAATGATCTGCCACAGACAACCTGCTGGAAAGGGACTTAAGAGCTTTTCCTTGAAACCACAAAGAGTATAATAGAAACAAGTGTCTCCATTCTCATTTATTAAGGCTTTTCTTTTCTTTTCTGCTTTTTTTTTGGCTGTGATCTAGTGTTGGATAAAAAAGTCTGAATTCAGAGTGACTGAGACGGTAAAAAGTGCAGAAGTCAGACAGAAGCAGATGCAATTCAAATAAATGTATATCACTCTTTATTTCTGCTTCAGCTACCCTCACCATTTACAGCATCTACTTGCTGGGCAATAACTTTGTTCGTTTGTGTAAACATGGCAGTCTTATGGCTGAATTACAAGTGCAGAGGCATCAGCAGTAAAAACAAAATACTATCATATCTAGAAATAACTTTCATTTTTCCTCTTTATCTCAGATATGTAATCTTTTTCATGTGACTTGACATGTTTCAGTGGAAACTTCCTCCTTCCTCAGAAGTGTCACTTGGTGGTAGATGTGGTAGATACAGGGCTGCCAAGTTTCTGAAAATGACAAGAGTGAGACTTTAGCGTCCTCACCTCCTCACCTCCATGCCAGCTGCTCTCTCTGCACTGTGGCCTCCCAATGCTAGTCTTAATTAACCAGAAATTAGATTGTTGCGTGTGAAAGATAGTTAGAGAAACCAAGACCCGCCTTACGTTGCTTCTGTTTGGTTTATATTGCGTGATGCCTTCTGTGGTTAGTTAGATTTATGCACAAAGGACTGGTGGATTGGTCTGGGATTGGTTATCTTGTTCAGTCAATCAGAGTTACGCGACTGAGCCAAGTTTATCGTCATGAAAAAAATAAATACAGTGTATTGAATGGGTAAATATAAGCAGGAGAACTGTCAAGTGTGGCGGGTCCAATTGTGTGACTGTCACACTCACAGCTCTGTAGATATGACGTTGTTCCACCAACCACTAAGTGACACTTCTGAGGAGGGCAGAAGTTTCCACCGAAACATGTCACATGAAAAAGATTACTCTTCTGAGATAGAGGAAAAGAAGAAAACTATTTCTGAGAAACTGAACATCATTCAACTACTATCATATCTACTTTAACTGTGGAGATGTATTTCGTGTAGCTCAGTATTTTCCTCAACATGCTTGGGTAGCCTCAACGTGGTGGGGGTTTGAAGTGAGTTTGGACAGGGTTATTCAATCAGCAGCCCTCAAGCCATCGGCAACATTCCAGTGGGCCAAACTCCACCAGTGTACATGAAACCCTGAAAAATGATTGAACACTTCATGTAGTGTGGACAAAAATAGCTTCTAAGTGAGCTGTCATACTCCACCCCTCTGTCCCAGTCTTCGTTCTAATCAAGAGAATGGTGGATCATGGAAGACTCGGTTCATGCTCAGTTTCTTAGTTAAAAAAAATGTCTAATACACTCGGCTAAATTTATTTAAAAATCGGCTTAGGGAAAAGCAGAATAAACACAGTCAGACAGAGGCTGACACAGCACACCCACAATGTTATTAATGCCACAGATGAGAGAGACTGTGACAACAAGATAATTGATTTATGATGTGAGCAACAGTGATGGTGACAAGGTTGGTTGAGATGGCTTGATAATCATGATAATGGGAGCAATGAAATTTGTGGCTAATTAAGGATGTTGAGGTGAGGAAATTTCCCCCATGGTGATTCAGGGTGGCTTTACACTGCAGTATGTCGTATAATTGCACAAGTCTGTCTTCCTGTTAAAAGTTTATGATTAGTCATACTTTTTTATGAACATCAGTGACAGTTTGAGCAAGACTATACAGCCTTTGCAGGTTTAATCCATGGAGGTTCACGGACAAAATGTGTTTGAAATGTGTTTTTAAAATTTCTTGGGGGTTTATCATTAACTTTAACTTTCATTGGTTTGTTTTCCTGTTGCTTGTCATAATTTTGAAGCCACGATTGAATGGTGGTTTCTCCACCACTGAAAATGTCACCATCTCTTCATCCAAATACAGTGTTTGTAAGGGCTACACCAGCAGCAGGACCAAATTTACTCAGTTTCCAATTTACAATCAGCCCCTAGCCGTATAGCTGAAAACACACCTGAGTAAAACAAAACTATAGTCTCAGAGATGATACTGATGATGCGTACAGAACTCCACCAGCTGCCGACGCCATGTTGGAAATCCTGACCTAACCTCACCCTCACCTTTCGGTCGAGGGTACCAAGAGGTAGAGTTGTGCCAGGCCTAAGCTGCCTATTTAAACTAAAATTGTGATACCAAGCTGTAAACATCTTTATTATGATGCACTTAATTATTGATTTCATATCTCAAGACTCAGTTATGATAAAGTATAAAATTATAAAATTAAAAACAATATGATTCAAAATGATATAATACAGTACAAATGGCATTAAAAGATAAGGTATAATACGAATTATGAAACAATATGACATGATAACCAACACTTACACTTTAATAATCTATACATTTCAATACAGTCATAAAATGATAAATACTTTGATCGTCATATTTTTTGCCAATACAACCTTCACATTGGACTATGTGTCAACAGGGAAGTCCATGAATAGTCAAAATGACACACTGACAAAGTTTGTGTCTGTTCAGATGGCAGTCTTTTTCAATCAAAATACTCGTGTTTACCCTCGTGCATCCATAGTTGTAACACTCATGTATTTCATGAGATTACCTTTACAAAATAAAGTTTACATAAAAAAAATTAATGCAATAAAGATGATTGAAATGAAAAACTGAAGACAGTTTGTTGTACCCAGCAGTGCAGACACCAACACCAGTGTAATAAAGACGGTACGGGTGTCAGAAAAATCAGCAGAGAGAATCCTCCATCCAAACAGATGTAAATGTATTCATAAGCTCTTAATGTGAAGTGCTAATGTGGCCGTTTCCATCGGAGTGAGCAGCTGCTGCTCTGACAGGCTGAAGGACTTCACTGATTGGACTACTTTTTTTCTTTGTTTATGACTAAAGACTAGCAGGGATTTGTTGAGTGCTCTTTGACTGGACATCCACTGTTAACCCACAAGACTGTCCATCACTGTTGAAATAGTGCTTAAAACTATTCCTTAAAACAGTGGTCAAAAACTTCTTATCCCCCCTCAGTCTCTCCCATGTAAAAATGGTATGGTCTATCATATCTGTAACTTCAGAAGTTCTGAACCCTGCCCTCCTGTTGTTTCTGAAAACTGTCAACATTACATTGTACGGGAGCCAAGAACGGCCACGGATTCCCTTTTTAATGGTGTAATCTGGGGTTGTCAAAAGTTACGCACCGTATCCGTATACAGTTGTATCACTCGTGGACATTTAAGCCTTAACTAGTTAACATATCAGAGTTTTGCAGCTGATTAACTAGTACAACTCATGCTAAAACTTAATTAGTGCAGGACATTGATGTCTGAAATCAATGATATCGAATAAATGCTCAGATATCCTTCCATACCTGCTTTACGTCTCATCTTGGTTCTCATGGTAGAGACATTCCCTCATCATCAGTCCAGACCCCTGAGTTTCTGACAGCTCCAGGCTCTTCACCACCCAATTCGACCCTGCTCATTCACTCACAATAATCCTTTTCATCCACGCAACACTTATCCCACCCTGCATAAATCCACTCCCCAGCATCAACGGTACACTGGCATCATCTTGTTAGCAAACCTGCAGTGTGGACACAGAAGATAAAGAGTGCAGCATGGGCTCAGTGTTTATCACGACAGTTCAGTACTGTTTGTCAGCACCTGTAATCCTGCAGCAGTGTGTGTGAAATAAGCATGATGCTTCGTCTTTTATCAGCGCATCAGCGATACAACTTCGTAAACTTCCGAAGCAGTAAAATTGCAGTTTGCGTAAGACTAAAATGAATGATGTATGAAACTCAAACGGTGAAGACAAGAAGCTTAACTGAGCCTTGAAGAAGAGAAAGTCTTTATCCACTACGAGCTAAGAGCAGAATATCGTGTTAGTTAAGGATAAAGTGAGGCATGTGTTACAGATTTTAAGGTAATAAGGAGTCAATGTGTACAAAAGCTCAACCCAGACCCTCAAGGAGTCGTGGAGAGTAACTATCCAAACATCTTAGCGTGAATATACAAAGTGTAGCAGTGAAGGTAACGTAAAAATACTTAAAATCTATCAATATTTATTGGGTATTAT